ACACAGCATTATGTATCTTTAGTTCTGTATATATACTTTTTAGACCAACATGTCAAATCAAGCAAGCATGTATTTCTCCTGTAAATTTATTTGGAAATTTTTATTTCACTTGTGTAACCATAATGGTACTTTCATTTTCCGAACATCTTGAATTCTTTCAACTTCTTTTTCTCATCAGTGTTGGACCGATAATATGTTTCAATATTTTTGAGAAATACTGATTCCAGGAAGTTGGTCGTTCTTCTGATGGAACAGCGGACGAGGCAGAACGATATCGACAAATGCTTGTACGAACATTGCATTCTACTGCAGTCAAATTTCCAGATGTCGCAGCAAACATTTTGCCTGTTTTAATGGAATTTCTTTCTGAAGATAGTGAAAATGCTGCACAAGATGTTTTGGTGTTTGTAAGAGAAACTGTTCAACGATTACCACATTTGCGCTCAGTTGTTTTAGCACAACTTTTGGTAAGTTAACCATTTTTTATAAAAGTGATAATCCAATGAAATCTTCATACTTCGGAACCTTTTGATTAAATATCTCATTTATTATTTCAGGATATATTTGGAAATGTACGTAGTGCGCAAGTTTTTCGGTCAGGATTATGGATTTTGGGTGAATATTGTGAATCAGCTGAATCAATATTGAGAGTAATGCAGTTTATCCGAAAATCGCTTGGTGAATTACCCATTGTAGAAAAGGAAATGCAAATAGCTAGTAGTGAAGTCGTGGATGGAAAGAACGAAAATTCAGCAGCTGAAGTGACCTCGAAGGTATCTAAAATACTTTCTCAGTTGATTTACTTTACTATGCTAAATGTGACTTGGTTGGTGTTTAATGCATAATGTAATTAGATTATTTTTTATGGTACAGACTCGTCAACTTGTAACAGCCGATGGAACTTACGCTACTCAGTCAGCTCTTTCTATCGTAAAAACGGAAATAACGGAGAGTAAAGCTTTGTTGCGTCGTCTTCTTCTTGATGGAAACTTTTTTTTGGCTTCATCACTCGCAACCACTCTGGTCAAACTTGTCTTCAATTATAGCAATTTTGTGAAAGGTTTATTTTTCAATTTTTTCGTTTATTTTTGAAAATGCAATATCTATTCCGACCATTCAAGCAGTACCATGTAAAATTAAAAAACTGTGCTATATTTGATTCGCTATAAATCATAAAACTTGATTTTTCAAAGAATTATTTTAGATAAAAATGAAAAAGTTAATTCATTTGCGGGAGAAGCGCTGTTCATGATTGCATCAATTATCAGTCTCGGAAAAAGTGGTCTTGCGAAAACAAATGCAACCGAAGATGATCTTGACCAGTAGGTTAACAGCACTATTAATTAGTTATTTTCTCTTGATGCACTTTTTATGATGTTAGTATTGTTGTAATTTCCTGTGATTTGTTGAGAACATGTTCCTTTATTACATATTTCGAACATTAAAATCGAATCTTGCAGTTTGGGTATGTCGATCAAAATTTTATGCGAAAAATGGCCTGATGCAGAAGCCGTTTTTTTGCGAAAGTGTCGCGACAGTCTTGAGTTAATGTTAGAATCAAAATCAGAAAATGGACGCTTTGAAAGCGAAACGACAAACAGGTGTATATTTGTTATTAGTTATGAAACTTTTGGTGTGAGAGCAAAATACTCAATAAATGCCGAACTTCTTTTAATTTTTCCCACCAGATCTTTTTAAATGAACTGAAAATTTTTCAGTTATCGTTGTATATGGAAAGTTTGTTTTCTTACTGAAATAATCAAAGAATTCTTTAAACTCCACAGTGCAATAACATTTTGCTATTTCAGTTATAGAACTGTTCAAGTAGAGGTAGATCGTACAATTTCGTTTACGCAGCTTGCCCCTCGTGTTGGTGATGGAGTGACCGGAACTGAAAACTTATTTGACCTTTCATTGTCGCAAGCATTGGGAACTGTTGCAAAGTCTCCGAAATTCGATTTTGCCTCTTCTAAGCTAGGCAAGGTGAATAAATTTGATGAAAATCGCCTTCTACGAGTTGTGATGCTTTTTGTTATTGCAAAGTTTTAGTTTTGATATATGTATTCACTTCGTACAAGCCCAATGAAAAGTTTAAAGAACTTATAGAAGATGAAGAATATGCAGTTACAATGCCAGTGATGAATTTGGGTTTTTGGGGAACGTCTTGGAAGGGTATTTAGTTTGCATTTAGTTATCTTTGATGACTTACACCAATTTATTTCCCCTTCAGATTCTTTATTTGATATTTTCACTTCAGGTGAAGCAGCTTGCCGGTTTTTCGGACCCCGTTTATGCCGAGGCATATGTTAATGTAAATCAGTATGACATCGTTCTTGATGTGCTTATCGTTAATCAAACAAATGATACTCTTCAAAACGTTTGCCTGGAACTGTCAACTATTGGTGATATCAAATTGCTTGATAAACCAACACCTCTTACACTCGCACCACGTGATTTTTCCAACATTAAGGTAATTTTAAAAAAAAATGCTTTCAGTAAGCACTAGTTTATATTAGGATAAAAGAACGCTGTTACTGATCGTGTGATGATTTGTCAATTTTGAGGTTCTATATTGATTCCTTGTAGACTTTAAACTGTTGAAAGCTTTTATCTCTTCATTATGAAACCTTCATTGTGATACCAGTATGCCTTCTCTTTTTTTGAAAAGATTTTATTTTTTATTTTAGGCTACCGTAAAAGTTGTTTCCACGGAAAATGGTGTGATTTTTTCGGCTATAGCCTACGATGTTCATGGATCGACATCTGATCGAAATTGCGTTTACCTAGAAGATATACATATTGATATCATGGATTATATTGTACCAGGCAATTGTACGGACACCGAATTTCGGCATATGTGGGCCGAATTTGAATGGGAAAATAAAGTTTGGATGCCCCTTTGTTTTCCACTTATTTTTACGCTAGCGATTTAACTGAAGTTTAATATGCGCCATGGTTTTTTTGCTTTAGCACTTTTATATCTCAGTTTTAGTTTTTTTCTATTTTTAGGTCAACGTGAACACACCAATTACTGATTTACGTACATTCTTAACACACCTATCTGCTGTTACAAACATGAAGTTGTTGACTACTGATGCCGCATTAGGTACTTTTTAAAATTCGACCATAACATTAGCTTTTTTTCGTAGTGATGCCTCATTCTATTAATGGTTTCATAATCTTACTCTACAATTACCAAAAAAATATGGACATATCTGCAGGTAAAATATGAACTTCATAATGCCATTCGGATTTCAGAAGGTGAATGTGGCTTTTTGGCTGCCAACTTCTGTGCACATAGTATCTTTGGAGAAGACGCACTGGCTAATGTTTCTATAGAAAAAACCAGTCCCCTTGATCCAGATAGTCCTATTATAGGGCATATACGAATTCGTGCTAAAAGCCAAGGAATGGCGTTATCGCTCGGTGATAAGGTTTGTACTACTTTTCTTAATTCTATGTACCAAATTTTGACAACTTCGGTAGTCAAAGTCAGTACTAGTAATTATTCCAGATAAACTTCGCTCAGAAAGAGAGAAAAATAACGCTTTTGAAAGGAGAAGCAGTATCGAACTAGGATTTCCACAGCTATATTTATATCCTGTGATAATTGTTTTTGAGCGCTCTTTATCTCTTCGGTCTCACTGGAAAATTCCTGCCATTCTATGTGCATTGACAAGCAATTTTTCCCCTATTCCTCTTCTCCATGCCTCTTCTTTCTAATTTTTGAATTCTGCGATCTAAAATATGTGAACTCAATTACAGTGACCGCCGTAGTTCCTATTAATAAATAAACATAACATTTAAGTGGTGCATTCCATTCCATTGGTTATTTCCTCACATGCTGATACAATTCTTTTGAAACCTCATCAATTTAGAAATAATAGTGAGATTTATTTCACTGTGGTATGTATGGTGAAAACATCGAGATATTAATGATGATAATAATAATAATAATAATAATAATAATAATAATAATAATAATAATAGAAATGTCGTACTGCAGTAAGTATAATCACAAAGGTACAGTAATACATACACATAAAAGATATTATAAAAAGAAAATGATGCATTGTGGAGAAAAGGAACTAGGAAAATCACCACACGTGTTTACCACTAAAAGCTATTGTAATTGTAACTTTAATTGCGATATTGTTTTATTAGCAAACGGCACTGAATTGCTCTCCGCTGGTTATTATTGTTAATGTGATTTTTATGTCCGTTGTTATTCTATTTAATGTGTTTTTGTATGGTTCGGACTTCTATTTACTTATAATTTATACATTTTTTTAGTTTTGGAATAAATTATTTTGGGTTCTAGCAGTCCAATTCATAACCCAGAAACTTTTTTTCTTCAGTTTTAATTTACTTTATTGCCGACATCATTTATTGAAGAAAAAATAAATCTTGACCTCCTTGGAAGCTTTCTTCACATCGAATTTTCGGATAGATGCTTTAAAATGGCAGAAGTTTTATGCATAATTCGTTATTCAATGTTGGAAATGTTTGAGTGCCTTCTCATGTTTCAATAAGCATTATTTGTAGACAAAGAAGCCAGTCGACATGATGATCTGTTTAGTTAGGGGTTGGGAGGTATATTATAACGGCAGGAGTATAAGCTTTCGCCTTCTTTAGTAGCAAATGAGATGTCAGTGCCACTTTTTGAGGGAAATAAATTTAGGAAATAGTATTTATAATTGTAAACGAACATATAAATTGAGATGGCACACGCACGCACACACACACACAAACAAACATATACGCAATAAAATAAAGTAATTGACCAAGAATGAACGATTTTGAAATTAATAAATGGTAAATCACTTGTTTATGTATACAATTTGACCAGAATATAATACTAAAACAATTACATCGTAGTTGTGGGGGGATTGATTTTTGAAAAACAAGTGGGGATTTGATAAAAGTTTGGGAGTACTGAAAAGAAAACCAGGTCAAATTGTCCAGCGTATATAATTTGACTATTTAAGTGAGTCTTCTTTTTATACGCGATAGGTACGTGAAATATTTGTTAAAGTTGTGTCATCCCATTCCAAACTTCTGTTCTGTCGCTCTAGAATTAAAATATATTCTAACGAAGGATGGAAAATCTCAAAGTTCTTCCGCCTTGAAATTTGGGACAGAGAAAGAGTAATGTATGATACAATTGTGAAGAAAATTTGAAGCGATCATGTTTGCCTTTTTTTTATTAGACCTAAGGAATTGGTAGATTATTTCTGGTCATTTTATAAAACAAACTTATGGGAAGATATTTCAGACGAAAGCTTTCTTTAAAATTTTTCTTTCAATTTAAAATGGAAATGTATGACTAACCATTATCGACGTGAGGAAGTACATGTCCAGCATCTTCATCCTCTGTCAAGCCTTCATCACGAAAACTGAAATGTAGTTTGATTGCTTATTTATTTAAGATTAGAAATGTCTGGAAAATTTAGATTTTTATGGAATATGAAATCAAAAAAGGACAAATTTTAAATTGCAAGATTAATAATTAGAAGTTCTGAGATGATGAAAAGACTTCAAATGTCAAAAACATAAAAAAGGTATAAATTTATTTATGGATATACTCAACATTCTTCCACTTATCTTAGTTTACACATTTCGCATCTGTCCAGGACAATGATCTGTTTATTCGAATCTCGCAAAGTTTACATATACACATTCAATATTATTTCAAGAAATGAATGAAATCACCTTTCACCGCAATCGGAGCTTTCTTCGTCAGAGAAGTCAACGCCATTTTTGTTAACTTCCTCCAATGGATTTACTGTTATATTCATACCACTATCATCCCACTCCATTGCTCCTTCCTATCAAATAATGACTTTATAATTTTAATAATATGAATATAAAAATCAAAATTTACATTAAACTCAAACTTACAGTATTTCGCCGATTGCGTCGCCGTCTGGAAGGAAGTGGAGTATCACGCATTTTTAATACTCCGATCACTAACATAACCAGAAGGAAGCCAACACAAAAAACAACGACTACAGCAACTGCTCCTCCTAAAATTTTCCATCTATATATTCAAAGCAGAAAAAAAGGCAAAATATGTTTCTATTCAAAAGAAATGGAGATTTAAACCAAACATATTTAATAAAATTCCGCTTTTGGTGGCTTTAGAAGATCAGAAAGAGATGTGTATTACTATAGCAAATTTCATTGAAAACTTTATTTTTCGTCTGTTTAATATGCAGATGGCTTTTAAATAAATATTGTTATATTTTACCTGCTATAGCACCCTGTACACCATATCCGTGATGTGATATCAAAGCCTTCGGCCGTGGTAAATCCATTTCCAGTAAATTTTGCAATCGATTTCCACCAATTCGATCGAATGCAGGATCTACTTGCACTTCATCATCATCCAAAATTTCAGTAACTGGTGATTCAATTGATTGCAATGATGTATTGATAATATTCATCTAAATTTTACACCACTTTTTCTCAGGTATTTTTTAACTTTGATGCCTTAATATGCTTAAAACGAAACAACCTGATGAATATTCAAAGTTGGAAATTTATAATTAATTTGGATTAACTGTTCTCATTCTTAAATATAAACATACTTTGATTACTTGATGAACTTTTCATTACCAATAGACAAACTTTCTCCAAATGATATCTTTAAGAAGTCATTGCTATTAAATAGACTTTGAATCTTTCTTCCTTTCATTTTTTATTTTTCTCTTCAACAATATTATTCAATAATTTAAATAACTTTTACCACACATATCTCTTTAATAAAAATAATAATTCTCTCCAGAAGATTAGAAATACTAAATATATTGTAGGCAATTAAGTAAATTAAACAAATGTTATGTGATATGAGCCATTTGCTCAAATAAATTCATCCAATTTCTTATCGAAAAATTAAGACTTTTACTTAAAATTTATGAAAAAGATCTCAATTTAAAGTTTTGATAGTTAACAAAATTGAAAATCACGAGAATAAATTTGAGGATAAATGAAAAGCTACTTTACATACTTTTTAATCTCTTCTTTGTACAGACAATTCCAGGTTACGGGAAGGAAATAGTTTTTATAAAACTTTCTATTTTCTATTTCCTATTTTTTATTCTTCTATTCCATATTGTAACATTTTCTGAAGTGATATATGCTTAGGCATAACACACTGATGAGAACGATGACAAAATTGAGATAAAAAGCAAAGAGTATAAAAAAATAATTTATCAAAATATTAAATAATCCTTGTAAGGAGGATAGTCTTGGAAAAGCGTTTAGCAAAATTTAAAATATCCATTTACTAAATATTAAAAGATCTTATGACTTACCGTAATGAAGAATTAATTGTTAAGAATCTAACGTATCTCTATGACCTCTGGAAAAAAAAGTTTTACATTTCAATTCCCTTTATTTACTGAAGATATCTATTTTTCAACATTTGATGGATCGATCCTACTCCTACACCATTAACTATTTCTAATAGACTTACCGTAACGAGGAATTCATTGCTAAGAATTTGACCATCATTCATTGCACATTGTACAGTATAAATTCTCCGTGAATATGAATCAGCTCGAGTATTAAAATAGTGAATTTTCGACAAAATCTCTCGATAACCTTTAACTTTTTCTTTACCTTTCAGTAAAATACCCTGAAAATCTCAAGCATATTCTCTTTTCATAAATGGATTTCTTCATTTCCAAAAATCATTCCATCAATAGACGAAAATAATAAAGTTATTTAGTCCTTTCAAAGATAATATGCTTGTTTATAGTTAAACATTTACATTTTAAGTATAATGACACCGATAAAGGATAGTATTCTCTATGAAATATAAAATAGCGATTAATTTGATTCGATAATTTTATAAGATTTAATAAACTAGTAAAGATATTAATCAAACTATTTCTTCCGTTTAAACCACTAAAACAACACAGCATACGAATTGAAATAATGCCGAACTTGTTTATCATGTTCAAAATCAATTCGAAGAGCAGCAATTAACGAAGCTGGAGATGAGAAATATTCGAGATCCATATCTCGTGATGGTTTTAAATGGACTTTACACCAGTCAAGTTCCGATACACTTGTCCGCTCAATCTCTTCTGCAAGGAAAAAGAAAATTAATTTGCAGTTCTGCATCATTACTTCTTGTTGTCCGTTTTGCAGAAATGCTGAGACTAATGATGTTTTAGCTCAGAAATATAAAACTGATCATAATCGATCTAAAACGGATAGAGTTCCAAAAAACTTTTTTTTACTTTCATTTATTAAAACTGTCAATACTAATAGTTTTGTTTTCTTTTTCCTCTTGTCCCGTCTAATTATTTTTTTCTTTTTTGCGGAGAAAAAATTTTTTTGGTTAATGAAATGGATGATTTAACTACATCAAATTTGAAAAATTCTTCGAGCTTTTCGAATGTTTTTTAAATGTGTTTGAAGTTAGACAAGAAATTAATGAAAAGGAATAAGCCATTTTAGAGGATTACTAGTTGTTCTTGTCCTTCTCTAGAAAAAATTAAGGAAAGACTTGGTTATATCTATTCCCTAGACTATGCGCTTTCTTCATCACTCCATAATTATGATCAATATCATCATTGTATCGTGAAATTTTTAAAACTTTCCTCCAAACTACAGACATAAACTTTAAGCATCCTATTTTAATTCATGTTTTAATATATTTAATCTTTTCGAATCAATCAATATACCGGCCTCCTCTTTTTAACCTTCCTCATCATTACTTATAAGCACTTAGCTATCTTTTAACTCTTTATGTTAACTGGCTTTTCAAGCTGAAAAAGAGAACAAAAAGTCAACAATAAGTAAACAGAAAGAGTACAATCAAGTGAAAATGAATATCAATAAAGTACGATATACTTAAATAATGTCAAAAATGAATTCTGAAGTTTTTATAACATTAAAATTAAAATTTACCTCCATTGACGTTTTGGGTTACAGTGATTTTGATTTCAGGAAGCATAGGTGCACCTGTTTTTACGAGATGTTGATCATTGTTCACAACTGATAGTCCGCTAATTGAAATTACGGGTTCAGCTTCTCGTTGGACGAATATTGAGCCTTTACCAGGATTAAGAATAAGCTGAAAAGAAGCACAGAAAATGTAAATAAGAGGTGTAAAAAATTAAAAAAAGAATTTTTGCAGTTGCTGTTACGACAAAAAAGTGATTTTAATAAACGACTAAATACTTTTATTCTTTAATTAAAAAATACTTAAAAATACTGTCAACGGACCGTTTTTCCATCGGAGCATAGGACGGTTGTATTGATGAAGAAGGTACGATGCCCAGGTGTCGGCAGATTCTTTTTATTTGCATATGTAACTCGTTGAAGTAACAGCGATAAATCTTCGGCAGTATTAGCTTTCAAGGAAAAAGATGATGAATTCGCGGCAAAGATTGCATTCTGCAGAAAAGGAATTTTGAAAGCCAGTTATTTATATATCTTTGATTTTCATTCAAATTTTAGCTTTGTTTTTTTGACAAGAATAAAATTTGAGTCAATTGAAGTATTAAATTTTGAAAATTTAATTGCAAACCTCCCCTGGTACTAACTGATCGATTGCATTGAATTCCAGCTTCTCTTTGCATTGATGGGAGCACTGAAGAACTTGCGGTTGCTCAAGTTTGTGTGGTAAATAATAGATGGAAGCTAGATGACCTTTAAAAAACTGTGACATTATGCGATTACGACCATGCCAACATGCTCCAACAACTAGACGAGTTTCCTGCAAAACTTACATTACACGATTATACGCTTCATTTGTAACTCTTAACAGTATAACATGTAGTCATTGAAAGGCTGATTCCAATAGTGCAATAAAAAGAGACAAAAAGCACTTCAAAAAGTGGAACAAAAATTGGCAATAAATTGAACTACGAAAACACCTCACAGTATCTTTGATTCGATGCAATGGCCAATCGTCCAATATTTCCGGATTCTCTTTCGTTGCGACAAATTTACGACCGTCGATGTATAAATCAACCTAAATATTGATAGATAAAATAAGAAAGGTATAAAAATTAGTGACCTTATGGCTGGAGGAAGAAAGGAACGATTTTTCTTGCAGTATCAATTAGAATGCTTTAAGTGTCTTCATTTCCCTTCCACGACTTTCTCCACTGATCTAAATGACTGTTAGACAAATGAACCGTTCATGAAAAACCTCATTAATAAAATTATATTAACTGTATCAACGGATGCAAACAAAATGGAATATGAATGCCAATGATTGTCGCAAACTTCAGGAATGCTCCACCGCCATTCCGCAGCACGAAACGCAGCTTCAGCGTTACTCTCTCGACGCATCAACATTTCCAGCTTACAGTGACGCGTATAAACGGCAAAATGATGACGATTCATGTCTGAAAATTAATTTGCGATTGTAGATCTAGACAAAAAAAGAAATGCTATCAGATTCTGTAAATTTCTCTCTAGTCGCATTTTTCTCTGCCAATAAATTATCAAGATCGTGCAAGATTAAAAGTTCACTGGACTAATTTTAATTCTATGCAATTAATACTTCGAAATCCATAAGTTGAAACTTGCCATAGAGCTATTTATTAGCTTTATTCTAACTTTTTTATTCCTGTAACGATACTATCTTACTTATTCAAAAAGTTATTCTCAAAAGCATAAACAAAAAGCTACTTGTGTAATCGCTTTCACATAGAATTGTTTGTTTGCGGTCTTGATCTTCTTTACTGCTACGAGCATGTTTCATCGAAAAAGATAGCGTAAACTTTAACGGAATAACACCATCTATTTTTTCCTGTGGTACAATTGTTGCAGTTGACTTTCCATCAAAGGTATGTTTATCGGTTATGCCATCATCGGAGGCTGTTAATAGCGTAATTGTTGATTTATCCATTCCACATCTGCAAAGATCATTATTTCAGGTTTCATAACCCAGTTAAGGATCTTTAGTGAATTCAGTGAACGCCTACAATAAGATCGCTTTTCCTTTTGTTTAATTTTCAACATTGGACTTTTTTCTCCTCAATCCAGAAATTCACTTACTTGTTCCAAATTGCTTCCGGAATAAAATCATCGCGATCGCATCCATTTATTAATTGGTCAGTTTGTAGTGTTAGAATGCTTTTTACACTTCTCACAATACATGGTTGTGTTTCCGCACAGGTAACAACGTGTGCATTCGGTGCAATCCGGACACTTCCAGATCCAGGAATATAAGTTACTCGTTCTAGGATGCCATGGATACCATCCACACAAGCTTCATGAACATTAATAGTAACAAGGGTTGATTTGGACTGACGCATGCCGCAGTCGTGGGCGACAACTGTCAAAATATAGGACTTGGCTTGGGTGTAGTTCAGCGGTCGTGTATTCCGTAAGACACCCTGATGAAAAATAAAGGTTCTATGTAGGAAACCATTTATAAAAAAATATTTACGTTTGCTTCACTGACACAAAGTTTCAACCTGAATTTAGAATTTACCAGCCCAACAATAATGGTTTTCCTCGTGATTAGAAGTGTCAGTGGTACGGTAGTATTAAACACCTCCTAAATATTCCAAGGAGTTCTACAGTAGTTGAGAAAGAACATTCCTATACATTGACTGCATAATGCGAGACATGGAAGTTTGATCAAAAAATTATTAAAATGAAGTTTGAAACATTGGATCAAATGAAACCTGGTCATCGATAGCAAAGGGAAATCCATCTAGCGCATTTGTGATCTGATATCTGCAAATCTGTCCATAAGGATGACCACAATCTTCATCGGTCGCTTGCAATCGAGCTAATTCGTTGTAAATTTTTCCTGGAGCCTAACTGTTTTAAAACATCTGCATGTATTTCACACTTATCAACATGAGGAATTTATTGAATTCGTTCGAGTTGATACAGTTGGTTAACTGTTATGAAGACAATTTATTTCAAGAACAGCTTATGATATCTGCTCAACCTTACCTTCGTTAATGCTGAAGGTGTACCACGGGTGTGAAAATATTGGAGCGTGATCATTGGTATCTTTTACGGAGATTCGTAACCGTGCACTGAAGTGGTACTTTTTTTTTAACCGAGTTTGACATTTCTCGAATAAGTGAACGGTTTGTAGTAAATTTATCTGCTTAATTAAAATAATATAAACCTGTCCGCACAAATCAACAAAAGTAAGTCATTTGTTAGAATTAATAAAATGGGAAACTGATAATGGAAACAAGAATTCATGTAAATAATAAAATTTGAAGTATATTTTCTATCCCTCTTTGAATTATCTTGCATCATTTCTTTCATTTACTTCTTTTAAAAATTAAAATTTAATTTTAAGATGGGAAGAAAAGGAAGAAGAGCTCATTAGTTGATATTTCTTTTTTGTCGGAAATTTTATATTTTGTTAATGATACCCTGAATGGAAAGTTGAAAAAGTTAAAAAAAATCCTACTAAAACTTCCAAAACGATTATCTATCTCCTGAATTGAAGTATACTCTATTTCCCTGAATGTTGAATTCTTCGTTAATAAATTTAGATTTTCTAAATCAAGGAAGAAAAGTCTAACAATGAAATGCCTTTTACATGAATGCTTAAAATTTTACTAAATTTAATCCTTTTTTATTCTTAGAATGCTTTCAAAATTTTTTCTATTAATATAAGAATGAAGAACAATCAATATATTTTCTTATTATCTCATCAAACTATACAAGAAATCCTAAATAAAATCGAATAATCGATATTATTACCGTATAATTTGATTCGCTTAAACTTTTTTATAAGAAAACTACTTCCTACTAAGTCACAAGTAAAAGATATACCTTTCCGATCTGGCATCATCACCACAGCGAATTGCCACCATATTGATGAGATACTGTGAATTGGTACAGTCTAAATGTACACCATTTTTAACTCGTATAACACCTGAACCTTCTTTTTCATCATGTATATCAACCGTAAATGGTACATCGTCGGAACCTTCGCTTGTAAGTTCATATCGACATACTGGTCCTTAAATCTTCCAAAATGATACATTCTTACTTAGTTTGAATAAATTATCATATTAGAGCTGATAATTTTACCATATGAATTAGTAACATAAAGAAGAATGAAACTTCTTTCAAAAATTATATACTTTGTTTGAATTATTTCGATTTACTTTCAAAAATTAATTCAAATCACTTTATCCTAACGTATTAATGGTAACAATTCGTCATTATCGAAGCAGGGAAAAATATACTTCTATGAAATATTGATCGAGCAAGATCAAGTGTCATAATCACTTGTATCTTAATGAATTATCATACTAAAATAAATGATTAAAAGTATGGTTTTATCAGTCTTCTTATATTTCTCTCGTTCGATTAATTACCACCAAGCGAATGCTAGATATATTTTGGCATATTTTTGAGTGATGAGATTCAATTCAAAAGCCAAAAATTTAATTCCTAAAATTTTAACATTCTAAAATTTCTGGAAATGACCAAGCATACTTTTAAAAAGATTTTTTTTTAATCCTATCAATGATAGTTAAGCTAACCAGTTTTGTGAACAATGCCTAATTTGGGATTAACATTGACTATGGTACGATCCTCTCGAATAGTGCCAAGCAGCTCGTCTGCACCATCAAGATCGATTATTGGAACTGAAATAAATCCTAAATCAATTTTGAAAAAAAAAAGAACATAATAGTTTAGAATTATTCAAACTTCTCATTAACTTTTGAAACCGCAATTCATTAATTAAATTTCGTTTCACAATACACCGGATATAATTGTATTCAGCTTTATCCGTATTTGCTCCCTCATTTTATTCAATTTAATTTTTTAATAAATCGAAAATTTTTGCAATATTTAACGACAAGTTTCATAGCAAATCTAATTTCCAGAGAAATTGATTGGCTTAGATAGTTGCTAAGAAAGAAAATTGAATTCTCTCCGAACAAGAAAACTTCCATTTTCTTACTTCACTTTTTTCAAGAATTTATTTTAGATTATCATTGCAAGTGTATTTTTATAAATTTTTTAGTAGAAATGCAAAATAAATATCACAAATTTTATGATTCGGCAGTAATTTACAAAAAATTCTTTGACTAACGATTTATAAACAAATCCATCCTTATAGCGCAAACAATAGCCATTTCAACAAATAACTGGCTTTTTCGGTTTTAAAATTAATTACTCCAATAAACAATAACATAATGACGCATATTTAAAATTTTACGTGATGCGTGTCGTTCCGAAAACTTTTGTAGCCCTACAACTTTCCGGACTTCTTCATATTTAAGAAAAAAAAACTTGAAAAAGCATTTCGAATGTCCTAAAATAGACTGAATCAACAGTAAATGTTGTAAAAGAGTCGAGTCATACGAATCGAATTCACGATCCTTAAATTGGAAATTTTCAACTAAATATTGTTTTCGCAAAAGGTCAAAGGTCTTTTCTACTCTCTAGATAATTGGAATTAAAATACAAATGAACACATAATATTGGAATTAATTTAAAGAAAACATCCTTCCTGTTTCATAAATGACGAAGATTTGAAGATGGATTGGCTTCTATAGTTTAGCTCTAAATTTTTTCAAAAATTCGAACATTCTTACATAAAAAAATATCTGCAAAAGAGCGATTGGAATTGATAAAAATAGATTTTGCTGAATTTTATTTTAAATAAATTGAAATGACAAGCAGTATATGCTCACCACGATGTCGATGAGATGACGTAGTAGAAGTGAGAATTGCTCCGAATAAAATTAGAAGTACCAATCGCCGTATCACAAAGCAAAATTCTTTTGATGGCATTGATGAAGTAGTGAAAAAGCACTTCTGCGATTTGCCTCTTTGGCCTAAAAACACAATTTACGACAGTTGTAAGATGTAAATGATTTACATCACGGATCAGGTGACAAGGCGATTTTCACATATTCAATAGTTATTTGTTTATTTCAATTTAGTCATCGACTTCTATGTTTAAAATAAGTGATAATATTTAAAATCGATTGTCATTGAGTCCCTTTCTAATATAATAACTTATCTAATGAAATTCGTATTGTTGAGTTCACCTTTTAAATGATCATTTGTTTTTTGAACGTATTATCCATTAAAATCTTTCTTCTGAGAAATGATTTCTTCTCATACTATTTCAAATAAAGTTTCTGTAAAACATCACTTAAAGGGTTTCTTTAAAAAAATAATTTAGGGAACAAATTTATATAATTGGCAAATTCTGTAATTCGTTGAAATTTTAACTCGCTTAAAATTTCGACTTAAAATTTATCAGTCATATTTACCCGCCACTGAAACTATTCTTTTCTGATTTCGTTAATTTTATCTAAACTTTTAAAGTATTTAGACTGAAGAGGAGGAGGAAATCTGGTTTTCTAGAATAGGAAGTGAAGGTCTACTGGATAATGAAAGTTTATGCAACAAAGTTCATTAACTTACTAGCTAACTGCTTTTATTTAATGCTTTGATAGGAATGTATTGAATATAAAAAACGCCGCTCAATTTAAGCCTAAAGAAAAATTTAAAATTTACTGAAATAAAAACGAGGGACATAAGTGTTGAACTTTTCAACTCAACAATATCTTTAACCGTTTGGTTTAAGCTTTAAGCGATTTTCCATCTTATAAGTTAGAAAGAAGGCTTAAAAATTCACAATTACTTCTAACAGATCAATCCATTTTCAATTTGATATTTACACAAGCAAAAGTGGAAATTTTGAGTTATATTTATTCAAAAGGAAGTTGAAATTGCGATATTAGGCGGAAAAATCGATACATCCCTTCAAAACATTATCAGTGGAATTATTCATTAAAGACAATGATAATTGCTGGAAGAGACACACTTAATTTGCAACGATATGGGTGAAAACTTGCGATGATCTTTCACTGCCACCTTTCCTACAAGAAATAATACAATAGGTTGTCTCTTTGTTTTACTACTTCCAGCTCGTACACAACGACAGGAAGCATTAGGCGCCGAAAGAAAAAAGGGCAAAAACAAAAAAAATGCGGCAATTTGATTGGGAGAAGTTTCTACTCCATGCTTCAAAACGTTCTTAGGCATTAGGCATTCTATCTTTTCATTTCTACCCGTGCACGAAGAAAAAGTGAAGAAGATATAATCCGTAAGTGGTCGAAAAATCGATTAATTAACCCATACAACCTGAGTAGATATTCTTCCGCTCTGTTACACATTAGGAAGCCTTCAGAATCTCATCAAAATGCATATCACTGCAGACAATTTGCACTTTAATGGAATAATTAAAATGAAGAAAAAGAGCGAGAAAAAGCGAACAAAATTCTTTTATAAAACTTTGAAACGACTAGACGATGCATGCAATTTGTTGGTGACAAGCATGTAATTTGTGCAGCACATTTATCTTTCATTATCAGTCTTCTAATTTCTACTAGTGACGTTTTATCGCCATGATGACCACACCTAACTCTAACAATTCATCATTTCAATTGGTGTGGCTATTTTGTGGTGATGGTTTTGAATCATAATGATTAAATGATAAGCAAATGGTCATTCTCTTCAAGAATGAATCATTTGATATCCTGTCGTCATTTGTTTGATAATAGATGGAATGATATGGAAATTTTGCAACACTTATTGATTTAAATGTAAGAAAAGTAAAATTGAAGGAATGATAGGAAACATGGAGGAATGGATAATCATTGTTGCTTCTGTCTGCGCCATACAACCAACCACTAATGCTATCTATCATTTGTTCTTTTGCTGCTGGAAGGAAAAAAAGGAAAAACGTCGATAGTTCCATTACTCAGCGCTAAACTCTACTACTCTCTCTCTTTCTCCCTTCATACCTTCAAAGGACCGGAACGGGTAGGCGACGGTCATGGCCATCGTTTTTCGCTTTTTTGGATAAAATTTAGCAAATGATTTCTTTTTAGTTTGTTATATTTTATCCTCTATTTTCCTGAAATTTCAGGTAAAGGAGGAAAAAAATTCAGTTTTCCGTAATCATTCCTTTTCTTTTCCCTCTCTCTGTTTCTTCTCAGTGCGATTAATATAGTTATTTGGAAGTTAGCAAGAAATGAAATTTCTCTGAATGAATAAAACGGATGAGTGAAATAGATTGAGATGGAATATAAATGATTGAATTAAATAACGGCTGTGTAAGGAGAGCTCAGCCGCTGCTAATCAATTAAGGGTTTGTTAAAAGCATTGCAAAGGTGTCCATAAGAAGTTAGTCAGCAGCTAATGAGCATTTCCCATCCATGGAAATGAAGAAAGGGATTATTTTACATTACAGTTTTAGGCATTCTGAATTTAGCTTATTGGAAAACAGAAAAAAAGATGGATAAAATAAAAGGATAACTGGAGAGATTCAATTAAGCTGTGAGAATTTAAGCACTTTCTTTCCATCTACAATTTTTCAAGCATATTCTTTTCGCATTAGTATGAGCTATTCTGATGATGAATTTTTATGATTTTATAGTAAAGCTTATTTACAAAAATAAGTTAGCATTTAATTTTAGAGTGAAATAAATTTCGTTCTATATAAAATCTAACTTTAACAATGTAAATTATTTTGAATGGCTAATTTTGATCTCAGATGGCTTCGAATAAATTTCATTTCTGCTACGCTGAATAAATTTCAAATTCAGTGCATATTATCAAATGTAATTGATTGAAGAAGTCGTTGACAAATCTTCAAATAACTTTTGAAAACACCAAACTGATTTGCATGTACAACTTATTGCTTTTCCTCACATAGTTTAATACTAAAATTTCCGATCCTTTTCAGATTTCATTGATAGATTTGAAATAAAAAAAGCCTATAATACACCGAAATCATTGGTGTGATATAAATTAGATGAAATAAATAGTGATAATTAATAAAACGTCGATCAGTAAGGTGAAATTAAAAATGAAAATTAATTAAATTATAAAAGTTAAATAGTTATTTATTGTCAACAGAGTCTCGGCGCATGCCTTCCTAATTGTAAAGTTATAAAGTCGAATTTCCAAAAGAGTTGCTAAGCGAGGTTTGTATGGCATGAAATAAGTATAATTGAAATAAAAAAATTATGATTAGTGGGCGAAAGTGAGCATATACATTTATGTTTGTGACAAGTAAAACCTTTAGCTTATCGAAGGCGAAGGGAAAAGAGTGATGACAATGAGGACATCCATCAAATTGTTAAACTTTATGCTATATTAGTGAAATGAATGCCTGTCTGCTTGGTTGGCCGCCTAACTGTGCGTCTGTTTGGATTAAGGATAAAGTGAAAGGGAAAAAGGATCAAGCCTATGAAATGTGACTTTAAACAAAAAGCTAAATTTGTCGGAGATTTCACTCTCTTGCTGCATAAGCTAAGATTGGCTTTCATTACTTTCAGATCACACTCAACAATTGAAGCCAAGAGCCGGAAGCACTTTGGTCTAGGGCCTCATACGCATGCACATACACATACATACACAATATGAAAATTCCATAGTGAACAATTTGAGGCCTTCACCCATTTTCATCCATTCCTAAGAAAAATCAATGCGTGCTACAGCAGCTATATGACATTTAAGCTAACTCATTTTCGAAGATTACGGTAGTGGAATATGGGACAGAGATATAAGCAGCGAGCTTCCATCATATGAAGGTGCCACCAATATTATGATTCGGAGGTGACAGAAGAAAGGGTGAAAGCGGTTAGCCGCTAGCGAGTAATTGAGTGCTAACGCAGAATAGAATACGTAAATAACGCAATGTGTAATTCAGAGATCCATTCAGAGATCCATAAAATAAAAGCCCTTTTACATAGTTTGAAGGGGTTTGAGGTTGATGAAAAGAGTGGTATTAACAATGTGGTTAGCTAAAGCCTATAGAAATGAGTCAACAATTTGGCATAGTTGAAGTAAAAACAAGAAATCGAGAGTCAAGAAACTAATAGACTTTGAAGATGGAAATGAAAATGTGTCAGACATAGCAATTTAGGGAATGGAATGAAGCAAAACTAGTGGATGAAGAAAACGAATAGGGAAATGACGGGAAAAAAGATTTTAGGGCAAAAAATTATAAATTTTAAGATTTGAATTTATATGTCGCAGTATATTTGTTGTTGATTTTCCGACTCGTTCATATCAATTTTAGAGTACCGAATCAACTACTATTCTCAAATAATATGCGGCACCAGTAGAGCTGTAGCCAAAGTGCGCCTTTTGATTAAAGCAACATCCGATATAAAAATAGATTTTATGTATCAAATGAAATGGACTATTCTATTAGCATGAACTCTTAGGTTAATTAAACAAATTATCCATCTTATATTTTCTAAGTTGTCATTCGAAGATTTGTTTAGTAAAAATGCAAATATAAATATTCGACGATTTGTGGTAAAACAAACAGTACGAAGGAAAAGATTGTGTATGGCTTTATAGCGTAGCTAATCACCGAGCGGAACTATTCTTCAGTTTTTCATGCGGAATATTACTTCTTGAAGTTAGTAAAGTTTGTAAGTGTGTTTCATAAAAGCAACAAATAAATTGGTTAACTTCAGATATGGCTAAAACGATATTCACAGACCCATTAGTCTAAGTGACCTTAGTGACTTTTCTAACAGGTGGGAATAGAAGAAGGAGTGTATGAAAGATTTTTGCTTAGGCAAAAATTTCTTTGTAAAAAATCAAAAAAAGAATTTTGAATGTGATAAATAGGCATAAAGTAAAAATTAGGATGGTAAAAATTTGAAATGAAAATTTTTTTAAAACAATGAGCAATAAAAATTGTTTATTCCAGAAAGATAAATTAAATTTCTAAAAATATCACTGGGTAATAAAATTAAATAACTTGGGAAAAATTAATTTTCAAGCTTCAAAACAAAAATTTGATTTAAAATAGTGCCTACTTAGATAAAAATCTTAGATACTGTGATCCGTAAGTGTTCCAAAATTTACTGTTGCGGTAAGGCATTGAATGTAGATCAATCAATATAATAAAAAATTATCAAGTCATTGAAATTGTCATATAATAGTTTAATTATATATAACAAAAACAGAATCTTCTCCATTTTTAATCGTTGCATGGATGCTGATAGATTAAAATGTAATTGATTTCCTAAATGTTCTGTTATTCCTTAAAAGACTTAAAAGCTAGATAGATTAATTCAAATCTTAAAAAGTGTATCGAAATTTGAAGTCCAAGAATGAATTTTATACAGCGGTAATGAATCAGAAAGTAAACACGACGAACGCGCACACATTTACTCTTCAGTTTTTTCCAGCTTGTCACTTTTAGGAGAAAATGAGAAGTTTTTTCTTTAAGAATTTCATAGTGAGTTATTTTTAATTATTGGAATATGCTACAATGATTGAAACATAATTCATTGTGGATCACAAAAAGCAGAAAAATTCCAGTTGATCATCACAAAATTTCTGAAATTATATTGACGACTTCACTTTTTATTGTTGCATTCTTTCGTTTGAATGAAATTCGTCAAAAATGATTGGCTCAAAAATGAATATTTTAAATAATTAAAAAAAAATAATAATTAAATTCCTATTAGAATTCAAAAAACTAAAATACATATTTGAAATTTGGATGAAAAAAACGAAAAATGGGAAAATATCGATAAAATATCGAAAATATATGACAAACTGTCATTGATAAATTTGATTATTTTCGTCAAAATTTAAGCAAATGAAATTTTGAAGGAAGTTCTAATGTTTTAATGCGATGAATCAGAAAGTCAAATAAAAAAAGTGTGTTTGGTCAAATCAAAAAAATAATTGATAATGTGATATAAATTACTCTGTTTCATGAAAGGAACCTTGAAATTACATTGAATGACTTATATTTTGGATGGTATGATAACTCAATAATGGTCTGAAATTGATTCAGCAGCCTGAGCACATTTCAGACCATGTCTGAATAGTTTTATAAATGGATGAGTGGAGGTTTAGATTATGATTTCTTAGACTGTAAATTAATTTGTATCATCAATCATCTTGATATATTTAAGGGAGATGAATAAAATATGTTTAATTTAGAGTAAGTGCACGCTTTCTGATAGTTTCCGCAAGAAAGAAGACAAGCGCTACATTTTCATCTGGCTATAATCAATAAACTTAGCAGTTTGTTTCGAGAGAAACGAATCAGATTCTCCATTCTGAATGATAGATATATTTATTTGGTTTGGTCAGATGCTATTGCAGCAAATAAATTTTCAAGTTATGACTTAGTAGAATAATGTCGTCAATGACAGCAGTATCTTTGATTTGATATCATTATTTAATGTAACAAATTGCAATTAGAATATATTAGGCATAAATAAAATGATAACTAATTTAAGCTTTGAGTTATAATAATTCATGTAAATAATAATAAATGGAAGCGATGCTGCCATTCAATCTTTTACAACTACTCAAATATTCGGCATCTGTCATATGATTTTAGCCTTGGCATAGATTTGAAATGAAATTTGATAGTAAAACGAATAAATAATTATTCAATCGTTTCATTAAACTTTGAGGAGTGGAAAACGTTATTATTTCAATTATATCCGGTTAAACCATGGATCCAAATTTTTTCTTCATACCTTTCTAAAGATAAATACAATTAGAAAATCTCTTTTGAATATGAGTATGAATGATAGCGGAAAAGTATAATGTAAATGGTGAAGGAAGAATTGAAATAAGGAGAAAACTGATTACCATATAAAGTGAAAAGTGTACTTCGTTGTTAAATCAATTTCATTTTATTTCATTACCCAAAATTAACTCAGTGAGTTGGAAGGAATATTGACACCTGAACAATTTCTATTAAATGAAAATATATCTCATTTTCGATACTCTTAATAGCTCATTGCAATACAACTATTAAAGCAATTTAACACTTGTATCCCTTTCATTTCTTTTTCACTTTATATTGATTAATAAACGATAACTTTAGATTGATGAATGTTAATCAGATAAACTGTGAGGAAAGAAAAAAGATAAGAATATTCAATAATGTCAAAAAACTAATTTGATCGTTTAATCAGGCTATTTAATAGTAATAGCAAAATATACTACGTGACTATTTCATGATAAAGGTACGATACGATATTACACTGCTGATAGACACTATTTGAAGATGGTTTATATGACTTTGTAACAGATAACTTCAGGTAATTAACAGCTTTAGACGCTATTAAACTGCATTTACAACTTTGCAAAATGAATCAATTTTATATGAAGCAAACAAGGAAACGACCGCGTTAAGTATTTATGTGTGATAAGTAGACTGTATGAGTGTATATCAAATGAAATGATTGATGAAAAATTGATCGCAGTACAAGAAATATCGTTTTCTCCGAAAGATAGTGTAAATTCAATTGCAGCATGTCGGAAATAGTTTATACAAAATAAGTAGGAGGAAATGAAAAGTAACGATCAATAAGAATGTATTGCGTTTCTTCAATAAACAAATATAATCTAAAGGTCATCGGATGACTGGATGTTTTAAGAAGTTTTAAAGATATCTTTTTGTGGAGCACAACAACAACAATAGATAACATTGATAAACGCCTACTTCAAAGATTTATTAGATTAAAATTACATGAAATATGGAGAATTTGATTAAATAAGAAGTTGACAGGTTGAAACAATAAATTAACAAATCGAGATATCATTATGTCTTCAGCATTCGGGTCGATTGAGTGGTGATGATGACGATGGTTGGACTGTTTGATATGTGTGTGTGTCTCTGTTGTCTTTCCCTAACCCACTCCGTGTCGTCTATTTCTAAGATGAGGTTTTGAGATGTTGTTAAGTTGCAGTAGTTCTAAGCGGTAACATTACATTAAGTTATATCTGAACACAGATGAACATACGTGGAACACATCTACTAAATTTATGCTTGAAATTTAATTTCCAAAATTCTAAATGGTTATGATACCACGGTTTCTTTTTTTGAATTTTTGATTAATTTTTCATTGGGATTCCTAGGTGAAATTCTTCATAATGAATTAAAAAATCATATCGATTAGGATAAATCGATATAATTTTTTAATTCATTATGAAGAACTTCATTCCGAAAAATTCTCACAAGAATTCAATTGATTTAAAAATCAAAAAGATTTCTAGAGTATCATTGTATTTACATGCTCCCTTCATTCAATAAGCAATGAGCCAAGCCCTCAAGATACCACCATTATTGACTATCGTGAGTAATGACCAAAACATTATTCTAAACACAATATCCCGCTGTTCCGACAAAGGGAAGGCATATCAGAAGCAATTTTGTTTTTACATAAAGCTGTGTTGTTGACAGAAAACAATTTATGATATTCGCTATTCATGCTCTTATTCCAGTGAAAAATTTCACTCACTCAGTACAGAGAAGAAATCTGCCAGAAGAAATTTTGCCTCATGAGCATACAACGTCTCAAACGATTGATTTTCGTAGACTGAGCATTCCCAAAAGCGGGGTAGAAGATTTGAGGGTAGACTTTAGTATTTCATATTATGAACGATGTAATAGATGGCTGATTGGAATGACACAAAACACGCAAACAATAATGCCATTATGACTTGGAACATCGATACTATCTCTTAGAATGATGATATCATATTTGTACCGAAATCATCGAAATCGCTTTCTAACTAATCGATTTCAAATATTATTAAAAACTGTCGGCACTTTTTCAGAATACAAAAGTTGGATTTTTATAAATATTGGTAAAGTTAAAATTTTTCACTTCCATCAAATTGAACTGTATAGAAAGTTGTATTGTTAATTTAGATGTCTAAGTGTGATAACTGCTACATGATAATTTAGATAATCATGATAATTTAGATGTTTGAGTGTGATAACTGAAATTGTCATGCTTAATCTAATTTCCATTTTTATGTTGTGTTCTTTTCTCGCTAATTTTTTTTAAAAATTCTCTGATTCATAACTGATATTGTTGTGCAAAATTCTTCATTATTTCATTTCTAAATTTTAGATAAATATTGCATATTGAATTTCCAGTAATTCATGTCTTCGAAGTCAGTCTTCAAAGAAAAATCAATTTTTAAGTTGGAATTTGTCTGCTTCTTGATATTCAATATTTTTAGAATTGATTCTTCTCTATTTCCCTTTCTTAAACTCTTGCCGGCGAATCATATTTTATTAACAAAACGAAATGATGAAACTGTTATGACTTTTTTTGCTTGCTATTGTAAATAAATTAGAATAGGAGACTTCATGATTTGCTCAATGGAATAAATTATTTAAATTCCGTGTTAATTACTTGTAATCTTTTGAAACTCTCATAATCACGAAGAATGTTTTAGAGCCAATGGGATCATTCTTTTAGTTGGCTTTTTCGTTGAAAGATTGTTGGCCTCATTGTTACCATTGTTAAACCACTCGTCATCGTAAAATTCGTTAGTAGAGTTGTTATTTCTTGTATCGCTTTCATTATCACAACAATTGCACCCACAACAACCATTAACAAAATATACGTTCGGTTGAATGTGATGGTAGTGATGGTGGTGATAGTGATGATGTTGGTGTTGGTAGCCGTAGCGGTGATGGTCGTGATCATTGCAGCAATGATTCCTTTTGAGCTTGGTATTGTTATTCCGACGTTTCCAATTCGAATTATTGTTATTCTTATTCTTCCATTTATTCCAATTATTGTGATGATTAAAACCAAAGTCCCAATTACCATTCCTTTCCGATAGTTTTCGATTCTTATCATCCCATCCACTATTGTGCCAACTTCTCTTCCAACCACTAGCGGTATTATAGAACTTTTTTTGATTATTACCTTGTCGCTTGAAACGGTCCGCACGCGTTTTAGAAACTTCTTCGCCCTGAAACGATATGACAATAATGAATAACAATTAGTAACTCGTAAAAATTCATTTGGTAAGCGGAAAAAACGTTGTAAAAATATCAAATAAGCTAACTATCGCAGGTAGATATTTGATTACTTACTTTGTCAATGTCTTCTTTGATGTTTGCTTTCGCGATTGCATTTGCACAAATGATCGATAGTAATCTAGAAATATTGTATTAAAGTTCCTCTCTAAGAAAGAAGGATTTGAGAAAGAAAAAAGCTTTTGAACTGATTTGTATTGGGCATTATGGAACTCATTTAATATTGAAGAATTCAAAAAAAAATGTTAAAAACGAAGAATTCAAAAAAATGTTAATTTCAGCAAACTAATTTAATGGCCTTTCCTCGAAATTTTCAGAATTTATGCATACATTTCACTAATTATTTCATCGAATTTATTTGATGGGAAAAGTGAATATTACCAGAAAATGCTGAAATTATTTAATAATATACTGAATTGAATTCAACTTCATATTTTCCATACCTTTGGAAACTAAAAGAAATTCATTCCAATACAGTATCCTACATCACTTTTTATCACTGCAGTTTTCTTCAGCAACATTTTCAAATAATTTTCAGAAAAATTAGAATTTGAAAATTGTAGAATTCTAGAAACTTACAGCATTAAAGGAAACACCAAAAAAGGTCGCAGGTTCATTCTGAAAAATTTTTTGCTTTACGGCAATCAGTGAAGATCTGCGTCTAATGTAATTGAAAAGTAGCATTTTATTATTTACTTGAGTAATTTCAGACTGAATAATTTCAGCAAACTATTATTTACTTAAATAATTTCAGACTTTACAATCCTTTTTCAAAAGTTCACAGCCTCATATTTCAATGACTTTGAAACGGTTTGAAAGAATGGACAGAAAAGGTAACGAAAATTGGCTATGAAAGGTGAATGCAATTCTCATCCAAAACATATCTTTACTTTTGAAAAGAATTCGCTTCAAAATAAACGAGACTAAATGGCAAATTTTAAGCTATAAAATTTAAATTCCATCAAATAAATTAAACAGCCATCCATAAAAAGATGTTCGGACATAAAATGATTTTGCTTTCAGCTAAAGTTGTTTATTTAAATCATACACATATGTGCATAATTTGCTTCCACAATATGACGAGCAAATCAAGAGTATTCAGCTATCATATCTGCGATTTATTCAGCTGTGCTTGCCGTTGCCCACATTTGTCATTCCAATGTCAGAAGTGTGGAAGGCTTAAGTGAATGCAACTTGTGAAGATATTGAACTTTTTCTGCATTACTTTCCTGACGAAATCTGTCACATTTGTAGAAGTCCTAAATCCAGAATTATTCCAAGAAACAAAATAAATATACGAGCGATCATTTAATAAAATGTCACGGCAGATCAAAATAAAATTTGGAACACTTCCAGTTTATAACATACGTGATTTTACATTTTGGCAATAATGACGATCTATCTTTACTTTAGAAATGACAGATTTCATCTCAGTTCAGAAAAAAAAATGAAGAGTTATCCCTCTGCAACAAAGAAGAAAGAAATTTCAGATTACATTTTTTGATATCGAAGATATTTTTAATTTCATAATGTGACTACAAATTCTTAAAGTAAAAGGTATACACTTCATTTCACTCTATAATTGATTGTGTGCATCGTTACGCACACTGTAAGCTATTTCAAACAAAATTTAGGCTAGAATTTAATCGAGTTTTCAAATATAGTAAAAGTCCATACAAAAATCCATATTTTGATCTCATAAAAATCTTCTCATTTTTAAGGGATCATCTGTTCACGAATAATGAATGACTTTTAATGATTTAAGACAATAATTTTGCACAACGTTGCAAGTCCATGCCCTGGTGCTTGGATGTTGCCCCAGGCAACGGAAAAATTCCGGTATTCTGACTAAACAATTTGAATCATCTTCCGATTGGTTTTTTTGAGAATAAATGATTAATTCGAATGTGGTAAGCATTTTGAGCAAGAAATCTGAATATCCAATTAAAATTCATTTTTTTGTGAGAAAACATCTTATGAAGATATTTGAGAGATCAAATCTGGAATTCGTCTCTTCAGGTCGCTTACTTTATTTGTCCCATTTCATCTTTCTTATAAAGTTGAGAAAATGTTTTAAATTGCAACATATCGGTTAACGTTGAAATCATTTATTTTAGTTTGTTTAATTTATTTATCTTTTCTCAATTTTGAATTAAAGCACAATATTTTCTTTAGCGTTCATCGCTTCCATTGCAACTTATTCTGCACCTTAATCGTCCTATATCATGCATTTTCGTTGCAGTTCTTTTGTTTTTATACTTCTTTAAAGGTAAGTGTGATAGCTCTTTTTACTTTTATGCTTATTAAGAAATATTTAAAATTTCATCAAGTAAGTTTTGAAAATGTTCCTTAATCTTACAAATAAATGAATGATATCGTAGGAAGAAAGAAATAGGAAAAAAATGCATTTTTCCAAGTTTATTATTATTTATTGTTTAGCATATTTTTCCTTCATTTCATTTGGCGATAAAATTTTCTCTTCTAATGTCTTGTTATTAATTTTCAGTGCAATTGATTCTTGGATTCTATGAGAAATATTATTTTCTTCAAGTTAAAATTTTGAAGTTAAAATTGAGTTCGCAAAAGAATTGCTTTGGATTTGTGGAGCCAAATATAATTTTCTATGGACTCTAAAAAGATTTATCCTAAAAACTAGTTAAAAAATTTAGCGCAAATTTTAACATAATGATCTTACTTAGCTTTACGTTTTCAATTACTGTCAAATTTTCGGAGTGGAAATTTGGATTTCCATAATTCTATTTTGATTTCATCATTTTATTTATTGCTTTAAAAAAAAAGAATAATGAATTACAGTGTCAGTACTACCATATGCGACAAATGCCAAAATTTGCGAACTTTTGCTGATTGTTCTTTTCATTCCAAATGAAGCGATACGTTTATATTGGGGTAGCATTTTTCATTTGTTTACAAAAATTAATTCTATAAAATGATTAGAGTCTACGGAACTGTCCTCTTTAAAACTGCGTCGCATGTAAGGAAACGTTTCCATCCTTCCGGAAAGACTTACTGGATTAATCGCGATCTTCCTTCCACCTAAAAGCTTAGCTCACAATGTAATTTAAGAGCCATAATTTTCATATTATGCTTTTAAAGTTTTCGTATTTAAAAGCGATACAAACTATATCTCTCCCCATCCAATAAAAATATGCATATGATTTAACGCGAACCCATAAATTATTAAATATGCTTTAAATATTATACAATAAATGTGTTATATAGCAATTTGAAATGAATATTTATTAACTAAATGTTTATTTTATCCTACTTTGATCTCATCCTTAATTTATTTCTAGCACGCAAAGGGAATCTAACTGAAACGAGTGGCTATTTATCATTCGCTCTTCTTCTGAATGCACTTACTTTGTCACTTTGTGTTTACTGGGCTTTATTTCAAAGCTATGTTTTATTCATCGAATTTGTTGTTGTTTGTGTGGAAGCCTTTCTTGTAATTATTGAAACATGGTTTGCAATTTCTGCTATTGCCAATTTTTCGAGGTTTTTTTTTTTTTTTTTTTTTTAGTAAATTTAAAACCGATTTTTTAGTAAATTTTTTACTTTTTAGTAAATTTAAAACCGATTTAATGTTACCGTTTTTTGCGAAGAATTTTGTGCAAATATTTTCCCTCTTGAAACTTGTGCCCACAGAATTGTCATACCTGTATGTTTGTTAAAAATTTCATTGAAAATTTTCATAACCCGTAATTACGTATAAGGAATGATTCAATTTGAGATGCCTTTCCTCATTAAGTAAGTTTCGCTGTGTGTTATCCATAGCGATAACAATGCACTCAAAGTAGGCAAAATTAAAAAGATAAAAATTGCCTGATGAAGAAGATGAAATTTTGCAAAAAAAATGTAATTCACTATAATTTGTGACTTGTGGTTCTTAGTGCTGATTCACTCTGCTGTTTGATGGCATTAACCACATCTTGACCTTTATTTACAAAAATTTCAATACCTTTCACGAGAAGCTTTTTAAATTTAAGGCACAGAGCAAGTAATTAAATGCGATTGACTTCTTTGTACAGCTGCATTATTATCAAAAGTCTTTATTTAACTGAAATATTTTCAGATCCACTAATATTTAGTGGCATGGAAATTCAAGATTTGTAAAATAGCGGTCTCAAGCTTTCCAAAAAACTTCTATTGCTCAGCCAATGATACATCTGAATTGGTTTCTGGCAATTTTCGAAAAGAAATAAAGATGACTTCTCATTTTACCCAATGCAATCCTTTTAAGATATATTAATTTGGGTTCTTTTAAAATGTAAACTTCAACAGAAGTTAAAAATTTGTTAAGTACTTGAAAGAATGAATCTTTTATAAGTTCCCTGCAATGCTGTTATGTAATGAATATATTTCTTTCTTTCAATAGAAATCAATTCTTTTTTTTTGTTTTATTAAGGGCTTATTACTGTATTCTTTCATTGAATTGCATATTTTCAAATGCGAAATTCGATTGAAATTATGATATTGCTAGCTAAAACAAATAGAATTTGTGACTTCATCTTATGAGAAAATTTTTGTGTGAAAGTTGAAAGTTATCAGAATGATCTACAAGTTGTTGAAATTATCACTTCCTTTAGTTGGGCACGGAAATCTTTTTGCTACTCCATTAATGTATTGGAGTGATTAATTGAAGGATTATTCGAAAGATTTGATTAATTTGAGTTGAATTTTTGAATTCGAGTCAAAATTGAAGAGAAATTAAGGAAACAAAAATGAAATGGAAAATCGAAAAGAGAGTTTTGTGGGATGTGATAGCTTGACAATTTCAACAAATCAAAAACGTGTTAATGATATTTTGCAATCTCGTGAAGTAACTCAATTAATGTAATAATAATTGAAGAATACTTTCCTGTTTTCTGGATTTCATTCTCTTGATTTTCTGAATTTCTGGGATTTTATTCATTCATTCACATTGGTGTGAGGTTGAAGAATGAAATTGTTTGCTCAATGCTGAGTTATGATTTGGGTAGGTCTATAAATCAGGTTTCGCATCATGATATTACCATTAGTACTGACTTTTCAAAAATGCATCTGCTTGTTTTCCTTTTCCTCTCCCTTTTCCTTCCTAGTCCATTCTTCTCTGATGATGAGAACAATTATTCCTTGCCATATGTCCCCGCACTCCCGGTAATTCTGTTATTTCTATTCGATAGACGGATTTTGTCTCATTTTTTTTTTCAGGCATTAATAAAGAATGATTCATAGAAGATGTTGTCAATGCTATGAATTGTAGTTATCTTTCAGTTTTTATTTTCCTACACACTGCTTACGGGTAAGATTGAAATAATTCTCCACAAATTTCGTTGGATTTGAGCATGGCATCAATATATTGGAGTTTTTAATTAAGATTTTAATTACTTTGGCATTCTTCTAAAAGGCTTTGAACGATGAGTGGTAGAGTAGTAAGCCTGCACAACTGCAGTTGGATAATCCTAAAGTGTCTAGCAATTTTGGAATATTGTATGATTAAAAAAAATTTTGAAAATTATATGTCAAGTAATGTTACATATCAAAGATCAAATTCGAAATTGGAATTAAGATATTTTAGCGAATTTTCGAACTCACAATTCATCATTTTCAAGAATATATTCAAAAATTTTCCGCTAAGATTATTCTTATTTTTTGAAATTTGCTAGATTGACGGCAAAAGAGCATGACGAATTGGCTCGAAAATACAAGCATTATTATACGTCAGTTAGACCACAAGAACGAAACAACCGTGTCACTAATGCCAATGGGACATTTTTTGCTCTTAATTGCGATCTTAAAATCATCTCAACAAAACCTCATCACGTAACAGATTTTTCAAAATTTTAAAACTATTAAAATCAAGTGGAAAGTGAAAAGTACCACGTAGATTTAGTATTAAGATAATGCTATGTCAATTTCCTTGAGGTTTCCATAAGTACTGCTACAGTGAAGGATGAGTGGTTGACAAATAGCGGTGACGAATAAACAAGAGGAAAAGAAATTATTTCGATCGATTTTCATTATTAAATTGTATTCTATTGTGCACAGAACAAGATTCATATGGAAGTAATATTCGGTATTACATTTATTGATGAAAGGCTCATTATTCACGAATTAAAAAATCGATTTCAAATGCCAGCAGAATATCATCCATGGCTTCCGGAAATTATAACGCATCCCCATATCCCGGTTAATATTGCTATCTATTTGGATCCGGTGATTGGCATCGTTGATGCACTTTATCGGTTCGTAATTTGTTTATAATTGAAGTGTTAACTGAAAAAAAAAGAATATATAACTGCATTGGGTAATTTCATACAATGATAAAATGGAAAAATGAGTTCCGAATGAATACTTTATTACATTTACATTGCTTTACAAGCGAATCAAAAAATCCAAATTATCAAAATCAATTAGTAGCAAAAGTGTCAATATGTGTAAATATTTTTAACTCAAAATTTCACCTCATATTTCGAATTCTCATGATCGAATGTCAGTAGATAACACTCGCGATACCATTGAGAGTAATAATATTACAGATATTCTGCGGATCTTCTCTGTTCATCTGAAAGTTGGCGGCACCCGTTCCAGTTATTCCAATGCGAGATTGTTATATCAAATATTGGAGGTTCTCAATGGCTTTTAAAATTCACATATAGAAGGATTAACAAAGGGTTGCATTGAAATTAACGGCAAATTTAACTATTTCTTTTCCATTTCTCCAAATTTATCAATTTTTCCCTTCAGATGAGCGTATTTTTCTTCGCGACTTCCAAGATCTGCGTAATATAGAAGAAATTTCCAAAGTTTTGGTCAATGTTGGTGAGTTCTTTAAAATCAAAATGACAGCACTGTTTGTAAAAGACATATTCATCAATTTCGATGAACCAAAATGAAACTTTCATTAATTACCAATCAAACATTCGATTATTGGAATCGTAAAGCTGATACTTGAAATAATGAAAAACTGAGATTCGGCTTCACGTTATAAATTGAAAGCAGCTTTCAAAATTTACTCAAAAATGCAAAAATTCATTGTAGACGTACATGATTAGACCTGGGAAGTCGAGGTGTCAAGAAATCATTATCTTATGAAAGGAAATCATTATCACTGTAGAAAAAGTTTTGCAAATATTTCAAGATTTTAGAGACATTCAAAGAAGTAAGGATCATTGCAAGCTACCCAGAACTATGGTTCTCATCAATGGTTGCCAACATATTACCTTCTACGGTCATTTTTTGCGTTGTTATTTTTGCACAATGCAAGCGCCGTAAAGTCCATACGCTTGTTACTACATCCGCCTTCGTGTGCATTATTTTCATGGTAAATTAGCTGAAGTGTCTTTTGTGGAAATATTGTGTGATTATTGAAAATGCTAAGTTGAAAATATTAAATTTGATGCAATACTATGATGTTAAACTGTCGATACAAAAGCATCTCAGGCATCTCTTCAATGGATTTTGTTTCGATACCTCTTTATACGGTACTTTGCACCATTAATAACCACTATTTTTAGATTCGTCTTCGTCTAATTCAGTTTTAATTCAAATCCATTTTCATTTAGCAATTGGTCCGCAGAACAGAAAGTATTCTAACCTTGGAAGATTTATGGCTGTGCGTTACTTTTTTACATGTTGCCTGCATCCTGTTGATAGATCTAATGATACCAACATATAGTGCTCAATACATCGATATTAGCAATGGCCAATTTATAAGCATTATTCAGGATGGTAGGCTAATTCTGGTGTATAGGATGTAAAATTCATTTTTTTTGCAAATTCAAGCATATCGAAAATTATATGAAATGCTACAATATTAGTTAACTGAAATTCCATCTTACAGATGTGGATATCTCGAAACCACTGCCATCAATAAGAAGACCGACAGCTTCTCACGACACGCCTGCCAAACATGTGCAAGTAACACAAAAGCAAATAATAACCACAACATTGGCATTACGAAAACGACTACCTCTGACAATTATCACATGCTGCTATTTTATTTTTGTCGTTGCTTATTCCATGTTTGCACTTTATTTAGTTTTCAAGGAAAAAAACTTCTTACAGTGGTACTTACGTTAAGTTGGTACTCCAACTTTAATGTGCACAAACAAACTGATTGCTCATTCTACAACAGCGGATTCAACTACACAAGAAAATCAACATTATGTCTTGAAACAGCATCTTCTTCACTACTAAATAAATTAAGAAATGAGTATACGTGTGTTACATAAAAAAATTTAGCCGATTTCCGGCAATTGCTTGTTAGCTTGATATTCATCGAGAGAAAGAAGTAATTATACTCCGATTGGTAACATTTTCCCGAGCACTTTTTGGAGAAGAAAGGCACATTCTTGTCCTGCGATCTCCATGCAAAAGTTCAAAAAAACACAATCTGCATACTTAATAATTTAACGTAACGTTAAATTATTTTACAAGTAGCACATTTCCATCTTTGGACAAATTTTTACTGCAGTTATACTTCCTCTGAATAGAGTCAAAAAGCAAAATTATATTGTTTCTGAATTTCATGTGTAGCAGAACAATCCATCTTAACATAATTGTAATTCATGAACAAATCATTAATGTTTACACCGAATATGAACAATGAATAGAAAATAAACAAAAAACAATACTTGGACTGTGTAGGAATAACCGAAATATCGTTATAAAGAATTGGTAAACTATTTCATATATAATTTCTCTCAGTCTGAAAACTATTATTGTCGGAAAATATTACATAGATTTTTGTTCACTTAGTCCCTATGTTCAGAAAAGTACTATAAATAATGTACTTCTATTTAGTTCGAGGTAGTACTATCTCTAAACCCTATGACCAACATAAAGAGCAATCTAGTGGTCAACTTTGTCCATGATATTTTCCGATAACTCATGAAGGGCAAATCCTACAATATATCAGTAAAACCTTTATAATTTAACCTTATAACAAGTGTTTGTACCAACCATAAAAAAATTTCCACGACAAGAACATTTTGCTGCCAAGAATCGGGATATGTCTACCATTCCAAATCAAAAGTGCGAAATAGGAGAAAGAAAAACGGAAAAGCTCGATGAAGTGAAAGAAATGGATTTGACGCACTAGATCAAGGGTTGCCAAGAGAAATTACTCAGTAGCTATTACAATTCTAATTGTGTATAAGAACGATTCGGAGCTAGTACCATCAGTTACAATATTAATATGTTCCAATATTACTGAAGAAGTATGGTCTGATATGGATTAGAATATTATCTATTATTTACTTCCCGCTAAGAATTAAGATGCTAATAACATTTTATACCATGGATTTCCAAATTTAGTGTGAGTACTGCCTCGAGTAATGATGGAAAGCCATATAGAAAAGGCATATCTATAAAAAAAAATTCGCATTCTTCAGAAAAGAATTGTACCGATTTTTTTAACCAAAAAATATTCAAGATTAATATTTTATATTTTATAAAATACTATCGCTCCAGAAGAGTTCCCCTCTGCAGTTATACTTCCTTTTTCTATTATCAGCCACCTTAATTATTACCTGGAAAATCACAGCAGCAAAACTGCATCGGAAAGCAGGACGAATCTCTATGTCGGCAATGCTGTACGGCAAAAGAAACAGAAGCACTACAAAAATATAACGAAAAGAAATTTATATTTAATGAAGCATCAACGAACATTCGAGAATTTCTTCCATAAGATGAGAATTTTAATATGAAAGTACCTGAGCAAGATGGAGCCTAAACAGGACGAAGTCTCGGCATTACCTAGATTCACAATAAGGATATCGTCCAGTTAACTCTAAAATCATGAAATAGAAAAGAATTAACCAAGAGAACAACCATAGAATTTGTAGCCTATCAATATGACCTACTGGATTCCTAGTTCTTACGATGATACATTCAAGATATCCCTTAAGAACTTATGGAAGAATAATTCATAGGATCAAACTGTAGTAGAAAGGTCAAAGAAGTGTGGGACGCTCTCACATAGAGATGGCCAAAAAATATAAAGGAACTGCCGCAATTTGCAATAAACTTCTGAAAGCAAATCCAAATTCATGCCTTTATCAATGCATCAATTTTAGCATATTTAACAGCTGCATATATTTTAAATTATAGAGAAGAACCATCCTTAATTTTTGCTAAATCTCGAACCGTACACCTAAAAGTATTACTACATTTGCTTCGGAAATTTTTTTTTTGGGAGAGCTTTGTGTGGCACAGTCGAATAGTTTATGTTTGATTTATTTATTAGGAATTATGTTTGATTTATTATTTGGCGAACGTTTATGCTTGATATATTTTACTTCAACATCATAAGATAATTATTAGGAATTATCATAATACAGTCGATCACATGATTATTCTTCTTTACTTGTTGATTGAAAGAATATAATTTGGGACTGTTTGCTGAAGAAGTGGTCAGAAGAGATTCAATTAGGTATCAATGGCAGCACTATAGTATAACACCGAAACCTTAAAACACCTTAAGAGACTTTGAGACACAAACAACTGTTTATAGTGCAAAAAAGTACCATTTATGCTTAAGAATCAAAGCTTAAGGAAAATGGCATAGGCAAAAAATTTCACGATTATTTATAGATGGAACTCATAGTAAGCAAGGTATTATTTCGTATTAAACAAGGATCATTTCACCATAAATGTAACTAATCATCTACAATTTCCTTTAAAATCATAATAAAGACTAGTAAACAAGGGAAGTTAAATGGCAACTAATTTGGTTCGAGAAAATTGGAGACAAGCAATTTTTATAAAATAAATTTCTAAAGTACAAAAAATTTTCGATTTTAATATTTTAATGTTTTAAAATTATTTCGATTTTCCGACAGTACCTCGATTAGGGATGCTCATTGGAATGCTATACTCCATTAGCACTATAGCACCCAATTCATAATAAAGTAATTAGATCTACAAAACATATCAGTAAATTTAAAGTTGAATTTCAAATGTGAACTACATTGAATATAAAATAATTCCCGACTACTACCAAGATACGCTCAAAAATGAATCGAAGAAATACAAAAAGTGAAGTCCTTAAATGAATAACAAATAATGATATATACTACTCTTATGAATGGTTAGGAATTATATGTCAATCGACAAATTTTGCATTTTCGAAAATGCTGCTCTATGATGGAAAATTAATAAAGGATCTTGATAATACGGATCACTGCACTACTCAAAGCAGGAAATGTATAATCAGTCCTAGCATTTTCTATGCAACAAAAAGAAAGCAACCAAAAATTGCTTATGCAGAAAAATCGGAAATTTTAATGTTTAAATATATGGAAATCATATTACAGATGAGCTCTGAACTTCATTTGTTTTTAGCAAAGAAATTGAAACATTAAGATAATGAATTGTATATTTATTGACCCATTTATGATGAATGATGATATTATTGATGAAAATCATTAGAAATTCAACCCAAAAATCAGAGGCCAAGAGCTATTCATAAAGAAACTCAAATTCGACTGCAAAGGGTCAATTAACTGTGGTGGGAATTTCAACTGTCTACAACCAGAATTTAAACAATCCAACTAAAGAACATTCTCTGATAACTGTCATATATAACGAACAAATCCTCGATCAATCAATAAAATATTTATTACAACTATTTGTTTATGCCAATCATCAAAAATTCTCTACAACAAACTGCATTCTAAAAATAATATAATAGTACTGCACATACACCTCTTATCTATTGATTCCGAAAGGTATTTTCACAAAAAAGATAAATTCATAGCCGAATTTGATCACATCAAGTCATATGAGTCAGAATCTCATATTCCTCTAAAATAGTAAGGAAGTGAATTATCAACTTTAACGTTAAAGAGGGGTTTGAAGAACAACTACTAGACTTATTCTATTTGCAATTTTCACGAGTAGGAATCTCCTGAGAAAAAACATTAACATATGTTTAATATGTTTAATATTTAATAAATTTAGTTGTCAACAATAACCTATTACTGGTTCTCTTCTTCAACTTTCCATACTTCTTCGAAACTAGATGTCAGTTTTGAACATGTCAACGCAGCGCTCAACGGAAAATTGCTTAATTTAACCTCTTCCTCGGTATAATCCACAGTAGCCTATAAACATCTCTCTGAATGTTAGATGTGTTGCAATAGTTTACAACGGTGGATAAAAGGAAAAATAAACAACCTATTGATTCTTATCTCGACTAAGAAGTACTGCTAGCCCAAGATAAAAAACAAGATAAATTTGCTTACTTTTCCTTTCGAAAATCCACCAATGACGACTGCAATAGGTTTATTACCAGCGCTTTCTGCAAACTGCCTACAGCTCATATATTCTAATGCTTGATATGATGTCAGTACTTTTCGACAACCAATGGGCAGGTAGATGCTTACTGGATTCCTAATCACTTTCAGTAATTTCACTGAACTATCGGCTGCGCGTATCGATAATTTATGTAGTAACTGTACTAAAAGCAAAGAACGCTTAATCATTCGATGCCAACTTGATAAATTAGTCAAAGAGAAAACAATAAATATTGATTTTAAGCGAGCTTAATTAATTATATTAGAGGCAAAATGTAATTTCAAGTAAACAAATTAATTAATCGATAAATTAAAAAATTAAATTAATCGAAGGGAAAAACAATAAATATTGATTTTTTGACCGATTTTATATAAAAAATGATAGCAACAGGATATCATAAAAGGTATGGGTTTGATTAAGAATAGTAATGAAAGCTATAAAATGAACCCATCAAACCACAGAATCGATCAAATGTCCTCGGGATACGAATCTGAGGATTTACTTCGATTAGTATGTTATTGACGGTATGTACATAAATTTGCAATAAATCTGCTCGATTTAATGGGCTATCAAGAAGCATCAGAAGACACTGCAAGCAGTAAATTAAAAATAAGTCCTAAATTATGCATTTAATATACAAAATAGCACTTGACCAATAATTTGAATGGTTAAGAGCTGTTAAATGTCAAATGTTGCCAACTGCTAAATATTCTTTAATTTAATTCGTTGTTTTAAATCTTTAACATTTCAGTATGACAGATTTTGAGCTGAAAGGATTTATAATCAAAAAAAAATACGTGCAAAAGCTAACTAAAAAAACGCATCGACACAAGTTTTAGTGGATTTCGATTCATCGCTAATATCATGATGTACATAAAAGATTTAGACGAGTACAACAGACAAGTAATATTTTTCTAATATTTTCCGACATTCAAAGCAGGAAAGAAAAAAAATTGTTCGACGTTCGAAGCAGGAAAGAAAATGAAAATGTTATTTTTAAAATTAAATGAAATATCTACCTGATGAAGAATATCTGGCCGAAAATCAGCGGGATCTTTTTTCTGGTTCCGAATGAAGTTGGCATGTTTGTCACTAGAGAGAATCACATAATCTTTGCCTACCTACAAAAATGTTAATCCGGTCAACAAATATCAAAACAGGAAAACGGTCCAATTCCAATGACTGGCCTTGCTGCTAATGAATTAATTCGCCCATCATTACTGAAAGACTAAAATCATGTAAGATCAGTTAAAAGACAGGAGAAAAACACACGTTATTTTCTACAGTGTATAATTACTAGCACTCAATCTAAACTTAATTGATTTATTCTAATGATTCCATTGGAAGGGAAGAGTAGTGTATATCTATCTGTTGCTGTTGAAAATATGTAACCTTCGCACTCTCCAACGAGCATTTCTCGATAATAACGATGAGCCGTTTTTTATTATCTTGATCACTTTCTTCATTATTCTTTTTGATACGTTTGGCTGCCGACACTTCAGGCATCTACTGATTTCGAAAAAAGATCGTTTATTGTATAAATTAGTTCTACAAGTATATACAGGCAACTCATTCAAATTTTGAAAAGGATGGAACGCCTTAAACAGCAACTTTCGTAATAATTTTAAAGATAGGAAAAAGTCATCAACTAGCAATGTAATGCAGAAAAAAGTACAATATATAGATTTTCTTGAAATTTCAAACGCAATCTTTGTAACACACAAGGGCCTCACACAGAAAACTGAAATCCGATAAGTATACTGAAATTAAAGGTATCTATTCTCGGAAATAATAACATGATCTTGGCACGCTATGATAGGTTGAGTACTTGTTTCGTAAAAAACAAAGAGTGAGGACTATTGCAATTCCATTCATACCCTTACTGAAAAAGACATATTAACTAAGGAGAATCGATTACTGATTAGATCTTTTCTTACATACTTAATTAAGAGGAAATAGGATGGGGAACAGTCAGCATATCGATATGCACACATCTTAATCCACATGTGTCTCTTTCGGTCGTCTTCTCCACTTCATCAAGAGCTATTCAGAACACACTGTCTCGTGATTAAAAAAGTTTTTGTAACACTTCTCAAATCCTAAATTAAAGAAGAAATATTCTTCTAAAAAGAAGAAATATATGTAAAATGAATGCAAATTTCGAAATGGATGTCTCAGAAAACATTTTTCTTAAGGTAAGCACTTAACAGTAGACCTCATTTGACGCTTCGTCCATTGCGAGGTTACACATATCCCGTATGCTTAGGCTCTGTGTATCTCATATAACGGAGCATCTGAGCTACATATATCTCACATGTATACCAGACACAGTACGCCCCCCACCTACTACGTAAACTCCACAACTCTCAATGATCTGCAATGGAGTCCTACCGCGCCAAACTTCTTGGCAAGTGTCTTTAGCAAAGCTGCAATACGGAGTAAGCTCGTAGATTTCCGCGCGAAATTTTGAATTTCTATTTTGGATAGGTTATGATGGAAATGACGCCATTTGTTGGATGGTTGTGTTGCTTGCAGTGATTATATGAATTGCATGCATGCAGATAAAGCAACTCACTTCGAATGCATTTTGATCGAAACATTCCTTGGAAACATATCGATAAGCTTCTAGTTAAATGGTATATCATTTTCATATTATCTTGACCACATTTTACCTTACTATAGGATACCTATTCTGTGCTCAGCAATCAGCGAAATGTTGAGCAATGTCTTGCGTAGTGATTGATTGGAAGTTAGTGAGATGATGAGCTGGAGTGATGAAATACTACAGAAGCGAATAAGCGCTGATTGACCTACTAGTCTTCGTCTTCCACTTGACTATATTACACTGCGGAAGCTACAGAAGTCAAAAACGATTTAACAGAAGTGATGGAGAAACGGTTGGCTAAAATGACAATGGTGGTCACTGTCAAAGAATGACTCATCCTGTATTACACTTGATTGTGGTTTCCGTCCAAGTCTTCGTCGAATCTCACTACTCTCCGAATGTCTAAACACTATTCTTTATGTCTACGTTGTTCGCAAGCCTCATGATTTCAATTTATCTAACAATTGTATTCCTGGGTCATTGTTCTGTTACAACAGCTGTTATTCATTTCGTGATTTTTTTTTTTTGTTTTAAAGAATTGAGGAAGATTGAGATTGCCGCATGGAAGCGTGCAAATTGATGCTAAAAATTTTGCACACTAAGTGGAACATCAACTGTTCAACAGTATCAGCTGTAGGAACCATCATTGTGGGAACCGTCTCTCTATTCACTTAACTTATTAAAACCCTTCGCATCGGCAGGAAGCATTACTTCTTTTATCCATCGCTGGAACCGTGTATTCATCGTCTATTTATGCATGGAAAGAAGAGAGAGATGCAGTACTTCACTGTACATTCATTTCCATATTTAATATTAGCCCTTTTGTGGTGAGAGGATGGGGTGGTCGACTGGTCTTTGTCCTCTTCTTTCATATATAGTGAGCTCTATGAGTGACCGAATTGATGAGTGATTGTCCCATTGTGACCAATCGATGGTCAAGATAGTGTAGAACGCAGAAGAGGCGCTGCTGCTTATTTGGAAATACACTCATATCCTATCTATCCTTTTTCTATTTTTATCCGCTGAGTATATGATAAAAGGTGATAGGTCACACGAAGCTTTGCGAATATTTCTCATTATTCCATAATGCTCTGAATGGCTATTGCATTTTGCACAATTAGCATTTGTAGGCTCAATATTTCTTATCTTTTAAAAAACGGGAATCGTTAATTTCAGATATGAAGAGAAAAGTAAAGTGAAATTGTTTGCAAAAAAATTTTGGCCACAGGGAAATTGAACGGAACAGTGAAGAATGGCATATATTCTAGCCACTGTTCAACACTAGAATAAATTTTCACTTCAGAAATTTCTTCCGAATGTTTTCTTAGTGTATTGGATATGTAATGAAATTAACGAAATCTGATCTATTTTTCCTTATTGTACGAAACCTCAAATTTTCCGTTCCTTTACTTAAATAAATTAATAAAAATTGAAGTGATGGAGGACACTAGCATGACTGCAGAACGTCGCCGGCTGTTGGACAAGCACTTGGATACATGGACACGAAGTTTGCAACTAGATGACGTGATGGTTTTCCTTCTTGCCAACAGTGTCTTCAACGAACATATCGTTGATATCATCAAGGTTACATGTAACATTTGAATCCTGAAGAAAATGGTGGAATTTTTCACAAAATGTTGGGATTTTTTTTTGCTATTGTAATCTTCTCACTGGTTTTAGAGCGAGTCCACTCCGACTATGCAACGATATCAATTCATACGTCAACTAAAGATGCGTGGGAATACAGCTTTTTCTTTATTTTATCAGTCATTATTAAAGACGAATCAAAGGTTGTCAAATTCCTCCTACGCATTGACATGCTTTTGGAAACCAGTCATATGAGCTCCAAATTTTTAGGAAAAGTTTGAGATCATAGTTTAAACTCAGAAAAGTTTGTTTTCTACTTCAATTTATGATATTCACTATAGTAATTGTTATGGAAGGAAGAAATGATTATTACTGAATTTTAGATATTTGGCCAATTTGATGGAGAGTGGATTAAGCAGTGAGGATAAGGACAAATTTGGGCAAGAGGCTGGATATAGGTTAAAAATTTTGCATTTCTTCATCCGACCACTGAAATTTAACAGTTTTTCAAAATATGAGATAAGATATATATTATTCAAGTTACCAGCTGCGCAAATCGCTGTTTGATGCGTACGCTGAAAGCAGTAGACTGAAGTAAGCGTTATCCTATCACTTTTTGTGAAATTTAACATTTCCTCAAAATATAGAGTACTAGGTGGTATATTGTTCTTCCGGTGGCTAATATGTTCACTCTGTTTTTCTCTCTCTCTGAAATCCTTGCTCTAACCTACTTCTTTCATAGTGTTATTAAACTGTATTATTGTCTATTGAAATAGAAAAAAAAAGGCCTTTTTAAATGAATGTTAAACAAATGATAAAGCAGTGAAGCATTCAGCATTCATTTCTCAAAATGTGCTGTAATATATTTGAAATACATTTTTTGGTAACTTTAAACATATTTCATTATATATTTGTTCTTTTTAGTAGAGTTTTTGTCGCATGAAGAATTTACTTTGTTGTCTTTTCTTCTTTTTTTCTTAACAATAAAATTTGGAATTTCATTTTTTTTCATTGGTTTTGAGGTCAGTTTTAAACAGTAATCCAACCACTGGTGAAAATTACAAAAGTACTATTTGTCACAGCCCAACGGCTGCAGCAATTCAAAGGAACTGTTCGTACTACAGATCATATGAATTTGTAAAAAGTAAGTTATTTAATCTAATTAGAGACTGTTAAGTTACAACAAGTTTAGAACGAACATTCTTTTAACTCATTTTTTTTAAAGTTCTGCTTTAATTATAGTGCGTGAGCCTGCTGGTATACTCCATAACCTGGTAGTGGATTTCGTTGATACTCCTGCAGCTCTCTCTTCTTTTGATGCTGATTTGGTGAGTAGCTAATAATGAGCTCCAAGAAAAGTTCCTGTAAAACTTAGGATTATTTTTGCCAAAGACTAATAAAATAAAAATATTATAGTGCCACCTTTTGATAACCATATAGGTATAAAGGCAAATCTTGTTTTACATTTTATGTACGCTCTGTCATGTTTTAGGGACCAGACGGAAGGTTTTTTGTGTATCCACAACAGTAGGTAGAGCATTTGAAGAATGTGCATTGCTAGCCTCAGCTAGCAATGCACATTCTTCAAGTAAAGTCAATGATGAAGCAGTGGATATTTTGCAGCAACTAAGTTCTTTGCAACTCTTTAATAACCTTACTTTTAGATGTATCCAAATTTCTCATCACCCCGTGGAATGGCATTAATTATCAACAACCGTTATTTCCTTGATATGCCGGAAAGAATCGGCACCGACGTTGACGAAATTAACTTGAATAATCTTTTCTGGCAGCTTAATTATATAGTTTCGGTTTGCCGAAATTTGTGTGCAAAGGTAATATTTTTTATCTACGAAGAGATTTCGGAAAATCAACTATTTGGAAGATCATCAGAGTGTCTGGTGCTGGATATATAATCTGATGCTGAGTTACCATGTGTCAGTAAAGGTCTTACTTTTCTTGTAAAAAATTCATTTTTGTTGTTTGAAGGAGATGCTTATTGCTATTCGAGATTTCTCCAAACTCGCGGAGCATAAACATTTGGATTCTTGTATCGTCTGCGTATTGACACATGGTGAACATGGTGAATTGTACGGGACAGATGATGTCGCTATATCGGTGTTAGAATTTGTTTCATGTCTAAATGCACGAAACTGTCCGGCTCTGGCCCATAAACCAAAACTTTTCTTCCTTCAGGCTTGCAGAGGACGTGAGTTCTATTTCAAATTGTGCTAAAATTTGCTTGCTAATATATATATATATATATATATTTATTTATTTATTTATTTATCATTTATTTATTCATTTAAACTTGCTTGTAGAGCAATATGATCGTGGATTTGATGCAGTGTTTGATGGACCAGATGGATATTTTGATCGTTGGTTTACTCGTACCACTCCTCAACCTAATAACAGTTTGCCAGTGGAGCAGAAGACAAAGTAATGTTACTGTTTGGAGAAATGTGGCGTAATGTTACTCAAATGTAGCGATTTTCGAATTTCAGATCACCGATAGAAGCGGATATATTAGTGTCTTATGCTACTACTCCAGGCTATGTTTCGTGGCGCAATTCCATGAAAGGCAGTTGGTTCGTACAGAGCATTTGTGAAGTGTTTGCTAAGTATGCAAAATCTACCGATATTTTGTCGATGTTGACATTGGTTAGTTGGTGGGATGTTGATCGTGATATTTAACTTATTTTTGTTTGTGTCGCGTTATTGGTGTTATTGGTATTTTGCAGGTAAATAAGCAGGTAGCCGATGCCTTCGAAAGTTCCAGCGGTTCTTTCAAGCAAATCCCAGACCATTCTTCTAGGCTGCGCAAAGCTTTCTACTTCTTCCCAGGAACAACTAAATCGTCTTAGGTCGTATGTGCTAATCTAAAATTTTATTGTAATGTTTGTCATTATTCTGCACTATTGCTTTCCAAAACTCATAATACTTAGCAGGATTTAACTCTACAAGCGACTGTAATCAAGTGAAACCATGATGAAAAGTATATGGAGTGTATTAAAAATAGGTCAAATGGGAACGAAGTGCTTACTAATCGAAGAGTTTTGGACTTCTTTTTTTACAATTTTGCACATTGTTGTTACGTCTGTATTTTATCAGCTTCGTGTGTAAAAAAATGATCCGGACAGCAACTTTTTAGAACTATTCAGTCTTGTTTCCAATATCTAGTTCCTATTGCTTTCGAATCAATATTCCATCATTTCCAAAGTTTTGTGATAAAATAGTAATATTGCATTTTAATCTGACTGACTGGCTCAGTAGTATGAGATTGTATTCGAGTAGTGTCTAATTCTCGTGTGCTCCTGATGAACTTTTGCCTTTCATTATGGTCATCATTGATTTATATATGTTTATGTTATTTTTTTATTGACATGTAAAAGGCAAATAATGCTTATTCTGTTATAAGTTTGCCATCTCTCTTGGTAATCTCACTTCATGATCTTTCTTGTTGTTCTCAATTATGTTACCATTCCAGTTTTCTGTTTGGTGCTTTTTCGTGCCACGTATTTGTAATTTTTGTCAAGTTGCATTATGCTTTAATAAATTTCATAACATATTGCATAAGTTTCCACAATGCCTGTTATCCATAAATAACTGTTATCAAGTGCTATGTTTCAATTGAAACAGTGCTATGTTTTAATTGAACCGGTCTATATAATGGCGTCCACTGAGTATTGAAAATGCTTGAAGATCCACCGCGGTATGACCCTTCAGACATGAGTTTACATAAAGAATCACCGAAAAGCGAAACAGTAGCACTGTCTTTTAATGTTACCGTGTGGCCGGTTTCGAAAGTGCTTGAAAGTCAGATTTGATTAGCTTTCTTAAGCGAATTTCCGAATGGCTTTATATGATTGGATTGTCATGGTATGATGGTCTCTGGAATTGATAGCATTCTGGTATTCTGGTATGCCGACATACTTGAAATACCACAAATGGTTCCTGTGTAGTCAACCTGAGTATTTAATGCAAGCCTTTGATTATGAACTAGAGGCCTTAATGGTTGTAGTTAATTAAGGTAAATACCTCCAATACTAGGGAGGTAGTGATAGGTGATAGAATCGAACAAGTTGCAGAGGAGGGGCTATATCTTTTAGAAGTGAAACCTATGAAAGTCATGATTTCCAATGTTCGATTCACACCATTAGAAATATAGGTTGTGCAATGCCTTTTAAATAAAAATAGGAGTTAGGTAATATTTATTTCACTGTGTATTTCAGATTATTTGAGATAGATTTTTTTCGAAAGCGTTTTTATCGGATGGGATGTCAGCATCACGAATGGTGACTTGGTTGCCGCGTATACCAAAAGCAGTGAAAATTGGGCACATCCCTCAGCGTTTAAAATCACCACGATTGGATTTTCAACGAGCGCGCCTCGAAGTAAGTGTTTCTCCTTTGCTTCTCGCTTCTCTTAAATAGCTTCGCAAAATTTAATGTTCACTAACTGAAGTCAACCTGTCAAAATGCCTTGACACTTAGGTGGACTTGAACGTAGAGAAAATTTGTTGAGCAGAAATAGCTCTCACATACTCTCCTGTACTGAAATTTCAGTCATTTGAGTTACTCATGTTATTACAGATCTTGCGACGAATGTGCAGTACATTATTTCGTGAAGAGCGGGCAGAATTTCGATATCACCGTGCAATGGAGCTTCGTCCTTACGCTGAAAGGGTCATTGGTTGATCGAAGTTTATTTTATTCTGAAATTTTGCAGAATTCGAATTTGCCGTCCATTATAATTATGTGATGAAGTTGACTTAAATATTTTATAGCTTCTACAGTTTGGAATATTTCGTGGGCCTGAAGATCCCTATACCAAAGAAATGGTAGATTGGTGGATAATGGATGGGGATATACGCGAGAAGTTTTTCGAAATTTATATCCCTCGCTTTCGGGGAAAAGAAGGTTTTATTTGATTTATTTCGGTTGAATTTTGTGGTATACATTTCAGGATGTGGGAAGGTCAGAAAAGTTTAGAGTACTTAAGGGCTCAAGTCAAATAAAATTGGTCTTCCTTTTTTCGAATTATTTTTTCCAGCGATTGAAAATTTTTTCACTTCTGACGAACGTAATGATATGGATAATAGTTTGCTTGCTAAGGTGATATAATCACCACAGAATGTAGTGTAAGTGTATCAGTTCATGATTGTTACTTTGATTTTAAAAATTGGGAGGAAAAAGAGTGGAAACAGAAAGGACAGTAAACATCTGTTCTTTTAAAAAATAATGAAGAATATTTCTCAGGTCCATTTACATCGTTATATTTTATCCAGGACGATCCTAGCGAAGGGCATTATCACAGAGGAGTCATCGAATTAAATGGTATTTGTTTTATGGTATTTTCTGATTTTTATTGATAGAGTAGCAAGATATATGAATTCAGGCCCATGAGCTTTTCAACATTAATTATGTGTGTGATTAATAAGGAAAGAGAGAATTGATCGAATTAGAATCTTTCAGATGTCACATACCCACCAGTATTTAGTATGTGGAGTTTCTTTTTTCAGGTAATCCCTACCCTCCTATAGTCATTCAAGAAATTGATTATTCCCATAATTTACTCAACGTGCTTCTGAAAAATGCAGTTTGTCAACAGATGTCGAACTTACAGACGTCACATGCAGATATTATTTCAGCGAAATAGCGTTGATTGCCGTGGTAGTAAGCATTTTGGCAGTACCTGTATGGTTATGTGAGGAAGATATTTGACATGAAAAATTTCTAATTCTCTAATCTTTGCTTTATATTCCTTTACTAGGTTTAGAACTTTTAAGTAGAGATTGGCTGATGATTTTGAGATGTAGCAATTTCTCCACTGAGGGTTATATAAGAGCAGTAGGCATCTCTTTGAATCATGAATCGTCCGCAGTATGCTATAAATGGCAACGGAAATTGTTTATATTTGGGAGATCGTAGATTAGCTCAATTGTTGGCAATAATAAACTGATCAACACGGAGATGTAAGTACTATATACTGGCAGATATTTTACATTTCGCTATATTAGAAATTATCGGATTCACATGCTCTTCAAAGATGGTTAACTTCAGATCCCCACACACATTAATAAAAGCGCACAGGAGAAAAGAGAAATATATTTTGGAAAAAAGTAATGTAATTAAAAGAGCAGTAATATATTGAGATATTTGCTAATTTTAGAATAAAAATGTAATAGAAAGATGATAAAAAATTACGGGGAATTACATGTTGTGGTGGACCATAGCATCACCTACGGTATTTTCCACAATTCATGATATGCTCGTGAAAATCTTCTATCATTCGAAGTTTATCAGATTCTATTCCACATGCTGTGCAACGCAAGTTGAATTTTTCTTTAGCATTGCATTTACTAATTCGATAATCCATCTTGTGCTCTTTCAATATCGTGTAATCTACAGAAGCCTGTAAATTATCCATCTCATTATTGATTTCAAAAAAGTGATGCTTAGTCAAGTTTTTTCTCACTTGATCAAATTATTGTAAGATTTTTATGAATAAAGGTAAAAAATTGTTGGAAATCAAAAATTAATCAGAAACAATGAAGCAGTCTTCGATAGTCCATGAGTTAAAATTTCAAAAATGAGTACAAAAAATCCATAATCACAAAAAATCCATAATCATATTATGTGAGACTACCGATTTCTTTTCTTCATTATGATTATCAATAAGTAGTCGCACTAATTATTATTAATCATAAAATGATTCACTGTACGAAGATGGTAAGAAATCAAAGATATAGTGACATTCAGTTTGAGAGCATAAGTCTTCAATTCTATTAAGTGCCATTCTTTGCAATCGCAAAGACTCAATATCTCGATAAGTCGTGGTGTACTTCAGCAGAAACCAGTTTGAATGAATGCGTCGGAGAACTGTCAGGTTTCAAATATGCATTGTAAATGCAATTGTCGTGTAAGGCCATTTCGGATTTTGCACATTGAAGATCCGCTTTTAGGGTCTGCTTATCGAATGAATTGTCTTCTGGACATTTCTGCACTTCCTCATCATTTGAGCAACTTGCTATGGGGCTCACCATCTTCGATAGTGAGTCAGGAGGTGAAAGACTGGAATTCACTCCAATTTGGAGAGTGTTAAGTGAACTGAAACTGAACTTCATTTATAAATAAAGAATATGTGATAGTTTATAAATGTTTCGCACTCTGAATTTATCATTTTTTTTAAGAATGTGACACTTAGATTACTGAAACTTTTGAACCATTCAACATACCGTTTCAAAGACGTGGTAGCATGTTATTATTCATAGTAACTTAAATGATCTCATCCATCAGTTAAATTATCTCTTTTAATTCAATTTTGATTAACCTGTGGCGGCACAGTATAAGAAATTGCTTAATTTAAAAATCTAAATCCATTCCCAATTAGGAAATGATCGTAGATGTTATTCCATCTTAAATGAAGCCCAGCAGATATAGACCATGACATTTCAATGGACACACATCCTGCAGATACATGTAAGTATCTCTATTAGGTAAAGATACTTTACAAATTTTTTGCATCAAAAAAAAAGAGAAAAACTTCGAACTTACCTCGAAAAAATCATTCCGCACATCTCCACTGCGGGCTCACTTTCGAGGATATGAAACTTAGGAAGTCGAATCGACTGCGGGTTTGGTATCCGTTCTAACACTGCCATTGCATCCTTACATTTACTGCGCATACCCATTTGCGCTATTTTCATGTCTAAAATACACCAAATGGCTTTTCAACTCACTTACATACATATACCTCCCGCTATTGCCTTCACTATGTATCTTAAAATTGTTTAATTCAGGGATTAAAAGTTATATGATGTTATGAACGTCAAATACGTACGTCAAAAAAATGCTTCCAAAAAAGAATTAGGTAGAAGGATGCCTACAATAATTAATCTTGTATAAATAATTGGTAAGTTCGAGCATTAAAGTATAAGGATAGATAGCATTGTGAGTGTTCACTGTTTTAATTTGAACAGACCTCTTTCAAAATCAATCACCAAACTATTTTTCTTTATGCATACATGCTCCTCAATCTTTTTCAGTGCAATAGTTGCAAATCCACATTTAGAGCATAGAAGCTACCCGAGGTAGGACACTATAGCGCAATGAACGATTACGAATCTTCTTTGCCAAACTGCTATTTTGCTTGCGCAAACATCGCCGAATTTTCCTTCTGAAGAAATTTGCTATTCAAGGTGATATTTCTTTAATCTATGATAACAATTTAAACAATTTACTAATGAAATAATTTTAAAAGATATCGGAGGAATAAAAAAGAATAAAAATTGTAAAGGAAAATGATATTCTATGTGATCTGTATGACACAGAGATATCGAACGTCGTAAAATTGATGAAATAAGTTATATTTGCATTTTGAAAGTGCTAGCTATCAAATTTCCACAGGCCATAGCAAAGCTTTTATCATCTTGCAGCTATAAGCATTAAGAACTGAAGCTGTTAAAAGATGCGAGAAACATAAAGGCAATCAATTTCACGCATCCACATGGCGCTAACCTTCAGGCGTTAATCTTTTGACTCTTTATTTATTTTCTAGACCATGTGTGTTAGCGAAGATATTCATGATACTTATATTTTCTCCGAAAATGCAGGATCCGGAATATTCTAATATTTAAGCAAAGAGGCAACAAAGCCTTGCATTAACGCTCCTTTCATTCGTAGCAAAGCAAGAGCTTTTCTAACACCAACTTTCGAATTTAACCTATCACTGTTCTAAATTTTCTAATAATGAAATTAATATATTCAAGAGAGATACGTACTGGAATGTTATCGGAACTATTTGAAGCTCAGTGCACCTTCAATATCAAGAATTCTCCTTTATAGAATCGTGCAGGCATCTCACGAGAAACTAATACCTGGACAAAAAGCGCCGAAAAGCTGGATGCACGTAACGCAATATGGAGGGCACAACATGCATTCGTGCCATGCACTTTGCCTTATTCAGTAAAACCATTATTCTGCTGTTAATGCTTATAATGTTTGCTGGAGTATTGGAAGCGCGAGGTGGTCGTCGCGCTGGCAAAAGTAAAGGCAAAAGTAATCTGCAATTTGCACAAGTTACCGAATTCTCATTGGTGCATACACAATTAGCTGACAATAAAGTAAGTTTACGTAAGAGATATGTTTTAAATGAGCTGGGAAAATTGCAAGAGATTATAAATTATCAGTTCAACTATTTCAAAATTCTAGCAATATTCTTTGAAGGATTACAACAGTCCCTGAACTGATTATACTCACAACCAATTCATTTTCATAATGAAATAAGTAGCTATAAGTATCAATTCATCATGCATAAATGAAAATTAAGAGGAGAAATATGAATAAAGTAAGGAAAAAACACTTAAGAGAGGCCTGAGCATTGCTATAGTATAGTTGTATGTCTATCTATACTCACAGATAGAACATAATATTAAGTTTAGACAATGTAAGAATAATATGATATTTGAATAAATTGATGATAACAACACTATAAAAGATGTTCCGAAATAACTCAACAGCTTATTATTTTAAAATGCGTAAGGTTAAACGGAATAATTGAATTCCAGAGTGCTCATATCGTCACCGGATCACATTTCAGCCAAACATTCCGGCTCGGTTATAAATTAGTACTAATTTGTAAAGCTAAAGGTACACCACGTCCGACTATCAAATGGTATAAGGAAGGAGCGGAGATGCATCCAAGAAAGAATACACATGTACGTTACTTCCTTACTGCATTCATCTTTTGATTGATAATAATGATCTGAGATCAGATTATGTTAAAATTAACCTCCTGTACTACTATTTTACCAATATTGTTCTATTAAAATTAACCTCCTGTATTGCTATTTTATCAATAGTTCCAACTCTTTTAATATACCATCATATATCAGGAAAGTATTTTAAATTAAAAATGAAATGTTTAATTTGAATGAAATTCTCTAAACCTGGCTTTTAATCACTTTTTGAAATAATATAAATAGCTAAAAGTTTTATTTGCATTATTTTCTGGAAAGGCTAAATTATAAAAAAAGCGACAATTGTAGCAGTACGAGAAGTTGCTCGATGAAGATATGTTATGGAGTAAATTGGAGATCGATCCAGCAACGATGGGTGATCAAGGCATTTATGCATGTGTTGCTAACAATGAACATGGTGTTATGGCTAAAAATTTCAAAGCTGAATATACTTATTAAATGCTCTCTATTTCACTTATATATTGATAGTGTTATTCAAAGATTTCATTTTTAAATTCATTAATTTTATTTCTGAAGGGATAACCGATTCATAACATTTAATACACATTATGTTACTATTTTGATTATTGTGAATGAAATCATAATTATCACACTGATCCAATGCTCATTTACACTTTATGAGTGATAAAGATTTGCATAGTAAACCAATCAAATCAAAATGCATTCATTTTTCAAAGGAATCCATTTAACATCACAATCAAGAAATTATAAAAGTAAATGAAGAAATGTCATTTATTGTTCATTTTTATGTCAATACTGTTTATGCCTATTTAATTCACCCAATAGATAATAATAATCAAAATAATTAAAAAAGTAAAGTGAGAAAATTAATGAGAATGATAAGCTTAACAGATAATAATGCCAAGGGAATGAATCAATATCGTTTCATAGTATCATTTCAAAAGAAACAGCTTTGCTCATTAATACTCATTTTTAATGATGGAATGTACGGAAAAATCAAAGAATGAAAAGGTAATGATGTAATATTTTAAATGCACTTTGCTTTTCCGAAATTTTGAAATTTTCTGAAATGATATTTAGAGAAATGAGTGAATGGTAACAATTGCATTATGGCTGAATCCATGTGTCGGTAATATCAATGAAAGTTAACCAGTAATACTGAAAAATTTCGGATATATAAGGGAATTCGATTACATTCAGTGGCACGTGTAATAATTTGGTTAAAAGAAAGTAATAGAAAGATAAGAAACAATCATTAAACTACATTAATAAGGAAACGGCGGTTTCATGAGTTTTGTAGAGGAAGTGAAGTTTAAAACTAAAAGGAGACTAAAAGACCTGACTTTGGAAGGGATCATATGGACAAGAGAGCCTTCTTTTATCGGAGATATTACAACTACATCGCTCGCTGTTGTTGTCTCAATTATCTTCTGACTCAAACGATGTAATGACCGCTTGCAAACTAATAGCAATTTGACACACGACCGTTAGACTAATAGCACATTACTTTTGGTGATAGAAGTTGTTCCTTCAAATGAGTTGTAATTTTGGGAATACGCGGGGGATTCTGCTTAGTTGTTAAATAAAGAATTGAATTACAATGGTCATATCTGTAAAGAGTTGGTAAGTGCAGATATTTGAGACGTAATGAGACTGTCACTTGAAAAATTATGCATCTTCTTGCTTGAGACTACAAGTTTTATTTGTGATTTGTCAGTGAATGGTTTTTCTAGGTAAAGATGCAGACGATCAAATGTGTAGTAGTTGGAGATGGTGCTGTCGGTAAAACTTGCCTTCTCATTTCGTATACTACTAATAAGTTTCCCAGTGAATATGTGCCCACAGTATTTGATAACTATGCTGTGAGTCAGTTACTTATTTTTTATTTATTTATTTCTAAGTTACTTATCATTTTCTACTTTCTCGTCTAAATTACTGTTATTCATTTATTATTCAGTCACTTATCGTTTGTATGCTAAATATAGATCAGTTAGATATTAGTTATTCGTCAATACCATCTTCATGCGAATCATAATTTATGTCTGATTAGTATATCATCTGTTGATATTTAATTTGTTGCATGTACTTTTTTCTGTTGTAATTAGACCATTTTTATCTTGCAGCTTATCAATTTTCAACTAATTCACTTGCATTTTTTAGTTGGAAAAAAGTTGTTTCATTTATTATATTCTAATTATACTTTGTTATTGTATGCAAAATACATTCGCAATCATATAAAACGTGCGATATTTGTTGCAGGTAACAGTAATGATTGGTGGAGAACCATATACGCTTGGTTTATTCGACACAGCCGGTCAAGAAGACTATGATAGATTGCGTCCTCTCTCTTATCCGCAGACAGATGTATTTTTAGTTTGCTTCTCCGTCGTTGCACCTTCATCATTCGAAAATGTGAAGGAGAAGGTAAGGTTACTCTGTTAATCCATTTTGCAAAATTTGTACTGATTACGATTAGCGTTGTCAAGATTGTTCAAATGAAATTGATACGATATTGAATTAGACAATCGTGTCATATGTGTTTAAATAAAATAAGACACGAATTTTGAGCTGTCTTGAATTATCAAGTTAGAGTCGATTTAACTACTGGTGTCGTGTTTTGTTTTTATGTAAGCCGATGAAAAAAAAATTGCAGTGGGTGCCGGAAATAGCACATCACTGCATGAAGACGCCGTTTCTACTGGTTGGAACACAGATTGATCTTCGTGACGACCCCTCCTATATCGAGAAATTGGCAAAAATCAAACAGCGACCAATTACATTCGAAGTTGGAGAAAAGTTAGCGAAAGAATTGAAGGCAGTGAAATATGTCGAATGTTCAGCGCTTACACAAGTTGCCACTTCGAATTTTTTTAAAAATAGTTCCAGAAAATTCAATTCACGAAATTAAAAGAAAAAACTAGAATTATAACTTGCTTCTCAGCGACTTGTCAGTACAGCGACTCAAGCATGAATAGTTGTGTGTCTCATTAAAGTTGTAAACTGACCAATGACGTGCACTTTACGCTGATGACAAAGCATATTTTACACTATTAGAAATGTTATGTATATATATATATATACATATATATATATATATAAAGGTTAATATCTCTTTGGGAGCTGTAAATTGGTTTTAATTTTCTGTATTTGTATAGTGACAGAAAGAGATGCAAAGATGTTAAAAAATCCTTATTAGTTAGGCAAACTCGGTATTGTACTTAGGTTCAATGTTCGGTTCATTTTTTTTTCTTTTCGAGCTTTTTTGTTCTTTTTGGAAGCTGTATGTCTATATTTGCAGAAAGGCCTAAAAAATGTATTTGACGAAGCAATATTGGCAGCGCTGGAACCACCGACACAGGAGAAAAAGAAGAAATGTACTATACTTTAGTCTCATCATTCATTTTTCAAACTTTGATTGTTTGTTGTCAGTATATTAACGGATCATGTTATATCGGTTTTTAATTTGTTAGTCATTTATCCGATAATGTCTTAAACGATGCATATGTCATAAGCTCATCGCCATCACACCACTTTCTCCTTTTGGTCTGGTCGCTTCACGCATATGCGTAGTGTTTACATTTAACACAAGATATAGATTATGTTCTTCTATTATATATCCCGCACGTTGTACTTTGCAAAATAACTAAATTTTTGGTTATTAGCTTTGGAAAACTTATTGATTCGACCGGTATTCTTTGAGTAAGGCAAGCAGTGCAAAGGACTATATCATTGAGATTAATTTTTTAGTGAAATGGACGCTCACTCAAGTTATCGCTTTGTTCCGTATTCAAAGTCTACATAAACTGTTCTTAAAATATTCCCTAGAAATATTACATGGATTATGAAGAAAAAACTTCAGAAAAAAACGATGTTTCATAACTTAACCTGTGATTGCCATTCATCACCGATCCCCAATTGGACAGAAAATCGTTTTAGCGGAGATTTTCCTAAGAAGCAAAAAAATCCAAAATTCAATCATGAAAGGTTTGGAGCAAATCACACTGCGGCCACTGAGAGTATTACTGGATCATTTAATGTGTGGACAATTTGGCAAGGGCAGTATGGATTGTTGTGTGTACTCCCCAATGTAGCTTTATCATGTACCGATGAACTGCTTGGTATTGTCAAAAACTATGCCGATCTGCAAGAAAAGCAAGAAATTAGGTATGAAAAGAGTAACAATGTCAAATGTTCTTTCAATAAATTTCAAAGTTCAAATCGACATTGCTACAGTTTTTGATACCTTCACTACCGC